TTATGTTATTATTTGCAAGTTATGTTATTTGCTCTGAGTTCTGTCTATTGTTATTGGCATTTTATTTTCACTTCATCAGTTTGTTTTTGTAGTTGATATGGATGTGCTTTTTAGATTTTTTTTTATTTTTACCTTTTGGTGTTATCTGTAGCACACCTGACCTGGTGGTGGCAGAGCTTTGCCATTTCTTTTAAATTTATTTTTATATGGTTCCCCATGATTGTTTACTGTTCTGGATGAATAACCTTTCCCACTGCCTTCAGGACTTTCCTAGTTGCTGTTGACACTTGAGGTGGACATTTGCAAGCAACTTATTTATAAAATTAAATTAAACTAAAAAAAAAACAAAATTAGAAGCAAAAGCTTGCTTTAATTTGTTGTAATATTTTATGCAGCCAATTATTTTTATTATCTTTTTTTTAATTAGAATATTTTATAAGGTTATTTGATCTTTATTTATTCTAATTATTTTCAGACACCCATGGTTCCCTATTCAACAGGACCTGGTTATACCATGTCAAAGAGTAAAAATAAACTGGCAGTTACATTGAAAATGGATGACTTCTTTAATCCTAGACCAGAAGAAAAACAGGCACAAAAGTAAGTTGTTTTGTCTATAGAATTTACTAATTGAATATATTGATTGAATATATTTTCTTGATAACTGAGGTCAGCAAAGGTTGAAATATAAATGCTATTGATACTTGTAGTTCTTAAGGATGGTTCTGTGCAACCACTACTTCCCTTAAAAAAAGAGAAAAACAGATAATGATTATTTTCAGTTTTTGCATGATTTTAGATTTTTGCATTATCTACATGTAGTTACATTTTGAGTTTGTTTTAGTGAGTCCTTGTTTTCCACTTTTCTGGAGTTTACTTTTATTATTTGTTGTGCTTTATTTCTCTTCTCTGTCAGGAAAACTGCAATCCTGCAGGATTCACATAGGTAAGAATAAAATTTTATTCTACATTTCTTCTGCTTTTGTTAGAGTGAAAATTGTGAACAATGCAGGAAAAGCTGTCCGGATGTTTTATCTATGTTCCATCCAATTTCCAAATGTTTATCTATATTTTTACAATCCTATGTACAGTCCCTTTGAAAACTATACAAATTGAACACAAAGCAAACACTTACATATAAAATAAACCTTAGATTATTACTGGTTTTTAAGTGAATTGATATACATGTAAAATACAGCCCATCCCAATTGTTGTGTAATGTGGTCTTTATTAAGTCACGTAAGTTTCTAGAAGTGAGTAAATGACACAATTTTTTAATCTTATCATAAAATCCTTATATATATATTTTTTTGTTTATCTCAGAGAGGAATTTGTCAGGCAGCTTCAGCAGCAAATAGAAGATCTGACTTTATATTTAGAGGAAGAACGCCTAAACCACAGACATACCAAAGATAAGGTAATAGTTTTATTTGTTATCCGGAGATCAGAATGCTATTATATGTTAAAAATTATGTGACCAGAGTTTTTTTTTTCTTTTTTCGTTAAGAAATATGCTTGAAGATAGAAAACAAGATCTTACTGTGGATTGGGCTATTAGCAATAAGTATCACAGCTGGCCATTTTCACAAACTATGTAATAAATGTATAAAACTCTGGCCTTATTTCTATTTCAGGCAGCTCAAAATCTTCAGACAAAAGTCAAGGACATGAACCAGGAGCAGGAGGAACATGTGAGGTGAGAATTAAAACAGCCCATGAATGGTAATTTACATCAAGGTAACAATATAAATAGATAGTGGACATTTTGTGAGACTTGAGTGTCACATCTGATGTGTAACAGATTTTTCTGCAAATCTACGGTAAAGTCATATAAGGCATATATAAGTGTTAAGCAAGCACAAACATACATCTGAAAATATAAAAAGCGGGATCTGAAACTGAGGTTATATAGAGTATATTAAAAGCCAAAACCATCTCATAATAGGTACTGTGACACTGAAACTGTCTGTCATTAAAATGAGACAAAAATATTTCAATCTAGTATTGCAAATACAGGTTTCAAATGAACAATTTTTATGGCAATTACTGATAAACCAGAAGAAATTTGATTACTTACATTTTCCTTAACAATGTTTTTATACTAATACCTGCAAATGATAATTCAAAAGTTCCAAAATGTTAATTAAGGTCTCTAAGAAAAAAATTGGTATTGATAATTTGTGAGGTATTATCATAGTGAGCCGCTGCACTCCAGCACCAAAAATGTTCATTTGTGCAAGTTGCCAGGATGCAAATGTTTTCAAGACAAACATGTGTTTTTGTCTTCAAAGGGAATTAGAAGCAGAACACCAGGAGCAGATGAAGAGAATGAAAGCAAGCTTCGACATCACTATGGCAGAGTACAAAAGTACAACTGAAGCTACAATATGTAAGTGCCAAATATGGTATTGGTTGGGTAAACTAAAGGGGCCAGCTTATGTTTGGTAGGGTATGATGAAAAATATGTTCAGACTTTGTCCAACTGAAGCCATAAATCATCCAAGGCCCTAATTGCTTAATGTGTAATTAAAATTTAACCTAATTGGAAGGACTGTTGTCTATTCATTTTGTGATGTCATCTACACAATTTCTTGCTTTAAGTTAGATCAGGTCTGAATGCACCTGAATGCTGATTTCTCCATTCACTGTAATTGTCATTATTGCAGCTATGTTAATTTAATAATTTACAAAATGGTAATTGGTTAGCAAAATTGATAAAATTATCTTCTATCCCCAATTATTCATATGCTTCACTGAACGAATTTTGTATTTATTTAAGCTCGAATGAAAGGAGAAATAGAATTCCTGCATGGTTCATTTGAGTCCTTTAAAAGCTCCCTCACTCAAGAAATGAACACCAAGTGGAAGAGAAAAGAGGAGGAAATAGAGTATAAACACAAAGAGAATATCCAAAGTCATGTTCATGAAATGAGTAAGTAATATGAAATAGTGCATTCTTCTTGATATATTGGAAAATGTTCAAAATTTTTAAAGATGAGATCATCATAGCAGAGGTGTTGGGCAATTCTTATATTCCAAAGTGTGGCAAGTGGTTTACTTACTGAAATGTTGCAGACAAATAAAATTTTAATATATTTCACTCACATCATACTTTATATTTTAAAAGAACTGAAGATGATTCAGGAAAAGAATGCAGAAAAGGCCACACTTACCAAAGAATTCCAAAAACAGTTATCTACTCTTCAAAAGGAACACAAAAAAGAACTGGATGTAAGATTTCTTAAGATTGCTCAAATTCATTAATGCAATAGCTATAAAATCCATACACCAAGATAAATTCTGCACAGAGTCTGATTAAAAAAGTGTGTGTGGATCTCTCTCTCTCTCTCTCTCTCTCTCTCTCTCTCGCACACACACACACACATGCACACACAGAAGACCCTGTACTTTAAGAATCAATTGGTGAAAGCTTCTTCACTTTTCAATCACTTCACTCATACTGTATGTGTGATTATTGGGCTTATTGAATTTGATGTATTGTCAGTTAACAAAATAGCTAGTCTTTGAGAATCTCAATGTTTGGGAATCTTAACTTCAGATCTAAAAAAACATAAAAATAAAAATATAATTGCATTAAAATCAATTAACAGCAATAATCACCATATATATGTTTCATATTTTAGGCAATAATGAGAAGATTTGCTAATGCTGCAGCAGATCAAGAGAGGTTACAGGAAGTGGAAGAGGAACTGAAAGAACTCAAGTCAGAGCATGCCACACTACAGAGAGAGCACAAACAGACTACACAGCAACTCAATAGGACTGTGAATGACTACACTGATGCTGTGAGTAACTTACTAAGGGCTCATTCCCAATGAAACTATTATTGTAGGTGAATCTATCAAACTCTGAAGGGACTCTTGCTGAATGCAATCAGATGAACAGATTAACATGCTTCCTCTAATTCCAACATTCCTGTATAATAACCTTTTCTGTATTCTACTCAATGCCAGGATGGGGCGTGTTAATCTATTAATCTGATTGCATTTAGAAAGAGTCCCCCCCCCCCCAAGTAGGATCCATCTGTGTAGAATGAAAATAACAGTAATTTTCCTATCACAAGATTTCCATTTGAAATTTTAAATTAATNTTGAATCAACGTTGAGTGCCCGCTGGGTAGCTATAAAATCCATACACCAAGATAAATTCTGCACAGAGTCTGATTAAAAAAAGTGTGTGTGGATCTCTCTCTATCTCTCTCACACACACACAAGCACACACAGAAGACCCTGTACTTTAAGAATCAATAGGTGAAAGCTTCTTCACTTTTCAATCACTTCACTCATACTGTATGTGTGATTATTGGGCTTATTGAATTTGATGTATTGTCAGTTAACAAAATAGCTAGTCTCTGAGAATCTCAATGTTTGGGAATCTTAACTTCAGATCTAAAAAAAACATAAAAATAAAAATATAATTGCATTAAAATCAATTAACAGCAATAATCACCATATATATGTTTCATATTTTAGGCAATAATGAGAAGATTTGCTAATGCTGCAGCAGATCAAGAGAGGTTACAGGAAGTGGAAGAGGAACTGAAAGAACTCAAGTCAGAGCATGCCACACTACAGAAAGAGCACAAAGAGACTACACAGCAACTCAATAGGACTGTGAATGACTACACTGATGCTGTGAGTAACTTACTAAGGGCTCATTCCCAATGAAACTATTATTGTAGGTGAATCTATCAAACTCTGAAGGGACTCTTGCTGAATGCAATCAGATGAACAGATTAACATGCTTCCTCTAATTCCAACATTCCTGTATAATAACCTTTTCTGTATTCTACTCAACGCCAGGATGGGGCGTGTTAATCTATTAATCTGATTGCATTTAGAAAGAGTCCCCCCCCCCCAAGTAGGATCCATCTGTGTAGAATGAAAATAACAGTAATTTTCCTATCACAAGATTTCCATTTGAAATTTTAAATTAAACAATTAAAGAAGATGAAATATATATTGAACATTTACCTTTTCTTTAGAAAATCCGGTTGTCAGATTTTGAGACCAGGTTTGAGGAAAAAGTAAGAGACGTAGACGACAAGTACAAGGCTGAAATTCACAGTCTCATGAAGCAAAACACAGAACTGAGGTGAGCTATTGGTGCTTTTCTCTATATATCCTTGTAGCAGTTCAAACTTTAAGGGCACAGAATGGATACTTAATATAATTTTAATACATAATAATGATAAATGAATACATAATATTGAAATTTTCAATTTTTTTTTTTTTTGGTATTACAATGTTTATGACCAACAAAGGTATTAAATCACAATTGTCAAAAAAATAATAATAATAAATAAGTAAAAATCCCACTCATATGCAAAATATCTCACAGCTTTATTTCCAGGGGGATAAAATATCCCACTCCAGCTGAGTTCCATCCAATCCCTGCTACTTAAATCAACTTAATCAACTTATATAGAAGCATAATGTTATAATTGAATATAGCTTAAATACAAAATGATATGAAAATGACAAAGATGTGATCATAAATTTCATCAGTTATGAAATATATTCAGTCAATTGAATTATATTAATGTATTTCAGGCAAATGTATGTCAAGAAGTGTGGTGAGTTATTTGATGAGAAAACCTCCACAGAGGATGCAGTATTGGAGCGAGTACAAAGTGCCAAAGATACCATGCAAGCCTTGATCACCAGTAGAACCAGAGCCAATGTCAGCGTGGCAGCAGTGGATCCAAAACTGGATTCAAAACCACGGAAGTTATATGTCAGGCCAGCTAGTGCCCCTATCACTAGAAGTGAGGCTGAAGCGGCACAGTTATGTGCTGGTCAAACTCGCCATATTAGTGACAGGCCTTCAGAGCCCCCTATTAGGCCGCGGTCCAGTGCTATGGCCATGGCTGAACAAAGGTTAAGTAAAAGTGTCCATTGGGCACTTGATGACCAAATGGATCAAACACAGGAAGATGTTTAGAAAAAGAAGGAAAGTCCAGGTTAACAACAGCAAGAGCAGTTATTGTCTTCAATAATTTTGGTGCTAGAGCTGACACCACATTTAACTAGTGGGCAGTGGAATTAAAGCTCAAATGTATTTAATACCCAGTTACAATAACAAAGATGCAACACTACAGTTATTCGAATCAGGACCTGATTTGTTATTTATTCGAATAAATGACTTTAGTGTGAACGGGGTATATTAGTTAATACTGGTTTCCATTCTTTTTGAAATGGTTAATGTCACAGATTTAGACTCCGTTCACATGAAAAATCTATTTTCTAAAAATCTATTTGTGGTATCTTTGGATCACGGTCTGTGCCCTGAATACCCCACGGCGTAATTACGGGCAGCGCAAGCCAGTTTCTTCCAAAGTAATTAATTCTCGGTGCTGCCAGTAATTACACAGCAGGGTATTCAGGGCACAGACCCTGATCACAAGATACCACAAAGAGATTTTTAGATTTTAAGAAAATAGATCTTTCATGTGAACGGTCCCTTATTCTGAAGTTTTTTAAATATACCCACACCTAGTTTTGTTAAGTTACTACAAAAAGCTGTAGTGTTTTCTTACATTTTGTTAATGTATATATTGGTATTTACATGATGTCTAGGTTCTAAACATAGTTTTCTTAACTGATTCACTCAGCAGGCTGATGTGTTTTTAATGAACCAGGCACATTTCTAGGAACCAGAATATTGGATACATAGAACACTTTTTAAGATATATTCACAGTTTTCCCTTTCAGGTTTGTTAAATTTTCTTGCATAAAAAACTTGCATCTTTACTCATTGCAGATAAACATGTAAGATGGGTAATCTTTCACCTTTTCATTTTTTTAAAACACAAATTCAAACAAAAGGGTAGCCAGTTTTTTTTGTTTTTTTTTTCAAGTGACCAGTTTTATTTGAAACTGATGGTATGCACCTTCGTTTGTTCATTATGTGTTCATAACATCCTTGAGCATTTTATATGGAAAGCTTTATGTATTTTAAAAAATACCTCACAAAAGATCCATTCCAAATTTCATTGCACAAATCTTTTTTAAAGTTTTCCGTTCCTATCAGACAGCTACGTTTCGCTCTTGTCTGAAGAGCATCATCAGGCCAAATGCCCATTTTCTGTTCTTATTTAACATAAATATAAGTGTGTATATGAAAAATAATTTTGATACTTTAGTTCACAAAAGCCATTGTGAAGCTTATCATTTCCTGCATGGTGCTATTCTCTCTCTAAACTTGTCAGAACTCTCTGGTCCAAAAGTATTTTGAGTGATAGAAGTAGATGCTTTACGACAAATGACAAGTGAATCTCACGGTACATTTCCTTTTAACTGATACCAAAGATCACAAATGTATGTTATTGTAAAAACACAATCGATGTTGTAATTTAGTGATGTGACAATTTATATGAAACTTATTTTAAGTTATTGTTCAAGAACAATTTTGATAATTATTTCACATTACGAATTGAAGCCTGGTTACCAGGTTCAATAACAAAGATGCAACATTACAGATCATCTGTGCATGTTATAAATTATTTTTTAAAAAGAAGTTGATTTTTTTTTCATTTAAGGAATGTAATAAATATTGCAATTGCAAAATGCTTGAATATGTTCATTTCTGGTTATTGTTTGATAATCTTTAGAGAAAGTAAACAAAAAGAAGCACCAGGTGTCTCCCTCTTTTCTATCCTTAGGCATGCCAGATAAAGAAAATTAAGACATAGATCAAATATGAACTTCTTTTATATGACAAAACTGACTGATAACTTAACATGTAGAATAGCAAAACCAAATTAATGAAGATATATTGTACACTAATAATATCTCTACACCATAAAGTAACATGATTCTGAGTGGGAACCTTGTCAGTATATGTATATGTGTATAAAAGCTGCACTAAGCAATTTACTGGCTGGCACAAATTTGAAAGAAGATTTTTCAGAAATTACTGTTAAAATGATATATCACTCTCCCCTGAAATATTCAGAAAATGTGTTGCTTGGATCATGAAACTTTAAGAAAACATGTCTTAAACCATGATAATTAACTTTAAAAGAGTCCAATCCAATGAACCAGTTACTTTCTTGGTTCTGGCATCAGGCCTACCCAACTAGTACCAGACTCAGCACATAAGGATCCTGAATTAACCGGTATATTGGACCACACTACCCGTTTTCAAGGTGTGCGTTAGATCGCATTTCTTTGTCGGTGTTCCGACTGATACTCCGAAAGCGATCTGACACACACCTTGAAAACGGGTAGTGTGGTTCGATATACTGGGTAATTCAGGATCCTTATGTATCTGGTAGTTGGGTAGGCCTGGGCATGCAGTCTTTGATAATTATAAAATACTTGAAATGCAAAGTTGCATATGAAAAATCTAGTTGAAATATAGCTGGAATAAAATCAAATTCAATTCAGGTAATATTTTAGTGCATCTTAAAAGTAATAAATATATGCTGATATGCAATTCATATTTAACATAATATTTTATATTTAAAATGCTATTATATTGTAATACTTAAAATCAATAGCTCCAGTATTGGAGTGTATAGCACCTACAAAATTTATAAATAATTAAAATGACTAGATTTACTAAAATTTCATTTGAACTTAAACTCAATTAAATGATATCTACATGAAAAGAAATATGGCTTAATGTTAAAATATGAAATCCGAACCATTTTTACTTTCTTATTACAATATTGGACTGAAGAATTTGAAATTCAAATATATAATTCTTGTCTCACATCTACAGCACAAAAAAATCGGATCTAATTTTTTAACCTACTTTTCAAGTACTAAAATCACAAATAAACATGATATTTTACTAAACTGATGATAATGACAAGTAAAATTAAATATGTTAAGTAACATGTGAGCAAAAATTGGAACTGCTCTAGAAACTTTGCTGTGGAAACACTTGGTATGTATTAGATGAAAAATTATAATTACATGGATAACTAAATTATTTACATTGTGTACAAAATGAGCCAACTGAGGCAACGAAGATTAGGCTTAAACTAAAACCCACTGCTGAGGGTGAAAATGATAATCAATCTAACCCTCACATCTGATTTTTCATCTAATCAGAATTGCTGGTGGTTAAAAAAAGCCTAAGTAGCAACCAATCAACAATGCTTCATACTTTAAAACTATAACAAAAAATATCAACCTAGCCAGTTGGAATTATGTGGTATGAATTTCAATGGCAAGTCAAACATGAAAAATGGGAACAATCTGGGAGTTCATATATGGAAACTAAAAAATTTTGGTAACAAGGTGCATGTCAAAAATTAAAGGGCTTTGCTTGACTGAATAACTACATTTTATTATTATGCATAAGCTCAGGCAGAGAGCAATTAACTAAATATTAACTTTGCATCAAGCTATTATCTTTAAGTTAAACATTTAACTCTTCAAATTTACTAACCAAGACAACCAAAACAGAGGCCTGAATTAAAATATTACTGGAGTATGATTATCATGGAATTCTTCAATTAGTAAATTAAAAACTTGACTAATTATGATCATTACTAAAACAATTATCTATATATCCTTGAGTAGAAATACTGTCTTCTGAGTTTTAAATGTAAGGATTGCTGACCCTTGAACTGCCTATACTTTCATATTTCACCATGACAGAACTAGATAGAAAAGGTGTCAACACAACTCTAAAACAGCCATATTAAAGTAACAAAAACTCTTTTCAAAACTGCTTGTGCTAAGGTTGCAAATGCAAGTTATATGTTTCAAAGTAGTGTAATAATTATTCTTGCACTTAAAGGGATATTATTTACCTACTTACTTGTCTGCTTGTCACATAAGCAGCAAACTCAAGAAAAAAGGCATTGGTAACTTCATCTACAGATCAACAGAGCCATGATCAACAAGTTATTTAAAAATGCTTTTAAAAGATTTAGAATGCTTGCAATTGATTTCCCTGTCTCAAATTGAATAAACTGTCCCTTTAAAATACTTCCTATCAATTTTCTACAGGTAAAAAGATTACTACAACAGCACAAAATTAATGTGAGAGCTAATATTCCATACACATACAAATGCATCTTTAAGGAATCACCATTCACAATATTTTAATTCTTTGTTGTGTTGAGGTAAACTTGACTATATTTCCTTTTTGCCTTTTGTTTCAAAATTTGTATATTTATAAAAACAACTTCATCCTTGTCACATTTGTTATATAAAGAGGTAAGTGTGAAATGCAAACCACTGTACTGTTTTGCACATGCATCATGTTTCAAGAACACAAGTATTAAAAAAAATGTTATTCAGTTTCGCAACAATCAAGATCCATTTCCTTTAAAAATTGATTACAGCTTCCGGTTGCACCCTGTTGAAATCCACCACCTTTAAAGATGAGATGGATCATGGATACATTTTCCCCCCAAAGCAGACTGTACATGTACCACATATTCACACCAAGCTGTAGCTGACACTGTGCTGGCCATGCAATTGTTTAAGTGTTCAAAATAAGCAGTCAGCTTTTTAGCTTTTTTTTTTTTCTGGCATTACTTTCTGTTCACTGGTGTGAGCAACAAACAGCAACTGTTCACTGCATCCTTGATCTGCCAACCACATAAGTTAAATGGTTTAGTCACCGCAGAGGAGTTCATTTCCATTTTCTTGGTGACAGCCAAGAAAACAGTGCCCATGTATTGAGTAGTTTATTGGATGCAACACTGCACTGAAACTTTAATAGGGATAAATATTGCACCCCATGACCTTCATTTATCTTATTTGCATTCAGACACCATTTGTAGATCATCTACTTAATAATATTTCATTGGCAATTTATACTCATTGCTAGCTGGAGATTTGTATCTTACAAATATTATAGCACACGCACCTTAAAATTTTGGTATCACTCAGTGTACAGCATATAATATTTCTTCAAAAAAGTATGAAAAGTGGGTCAAAGGGTGTCGTGAATATAACCCTCATATGGAAGTGCCACCTAAACTTTTTTCAGGCTGAAGCTTTCAACAGTAGTTAATATGTATTCATGCTTAAAGTACCACCTATGATATTGCCTGGGTGAAGCTTTCAGAGTTGCTCAAAAGCATTCATGCTTGCAACATGTTTTTGAAAGGATGTGCTTTTCATTACTGCTCCGTCACTCTTCACAGACTCTGTGTCGCTCCCATTGCTGCGAATATCCAGCTGAGGAGGTGTTCTCCATTTATGAGTCACTGATGGCGAACCATGATAATCTATGTTATACTGCAACAAAATAAATCATAACACTTACTGGACTGTTTTATATTCTTATATACCTTTAAGGTAAAATTTCTGAATAGACCTCAATTCACAATATAAAAGAGAAAGAAAAATTATAACAAGTATTTTCACAATCACACCACGAATAGTTAAAATTATCAATAGAGCTATCGCAATTACAAATCTACAGGTCCAAGTCACAAACAATTTCATTTAAAAGGCCCGAGACTATAATTTCAGACATTGCCAGCCACACAGATCACAATAGCCCCCACCCTCATAAAGATCTTCATCACACCAGAGTATTTCTAATCCCACCATGAGTAAATTGACCAGCCATCTAGTGCCATCATTTAGAAAGTAAGACCTATTCAGAACAAACCTCAAGTTACCTTTGTTGAACATATGAAGCATGTCGTGACAACTTTGGACACAGCATTCATGAGGTTCTTTGTTTCTTGAATTGCACTGTCCACCTGTATGGAAAATAAAGGATAAAACTCAAACTGAAACACACTGGTTTGCACCCTCATAACCTGCTTAAACAAGTTCAAGTTAATATTTACAATTCACATCTGGATTGGATCTGGATCTGATCTGGATCTGGATCTGATCTGGATCTGGATCTGGATCTGTAGAAACCAGTATTGATGTCAACTTTTTGTGGAACATACAACTGATGGTGTTGCTTATGTGGCAATCAGAATTACTATACACATTGCGTTACCAGCATACCAAGTTCATGTCTTTCACCCTTGCTTTAGTATCAATCTACAGATAGTTTTGCACAGGGACATGGGGCATCATTTTAATACTGGTCTTGGGTATAAAAACCATGACCTTTACCCACATAATAGGACAGACAGCATCAGATTGAGAGAAAAAATATATTCATTATATTACTTTTCTTTTTACACCACTGTTTTGGTAATGTGTCCATGTTATATAAAAGCATAAGTATCATACCTTATTAAATGTAGCCGTCTTGCCAACAGTGGGAGACTTGATGGTAAAATGGAGTTGCTGACAAAACGTTGGGATTTTGTCTAAATATGCCACCAATTCTGACCTCTGTCCACCAACTGGAATCTGTAGTCAGAGAACAAGGTAAAACATATAATTAAAGTATAAGTATATACACATTTCTGAAACATCTATTTCTGGACTTAAAATGTAAATCAATATATAAACTCTGTGCCCGTGATGAGGTTGCATCCTCTTCATGGGGAACCATCAGTAACCTGCCCAAGTCACTACATGGAGGATGCCATGTTATCATAATCATACTAACCATCTTTTGATAAACATTGATAGTCCAGAAACAGAATATTATCTCAAGTGGTGTCTAAGAGTCTTCATATACTTATTAGGTACATATAACTGTTTATTAAAATCAGCACAGCCAGTACAAGTTTATGGATGATGTGTAACAGAGCTAATATTTCTTTAATTTCTTTGAAATAATATGATATTAATATGAATTACACCCGACAAAGCTATGGGTCTGATCAGACTAGTGGAAATTCTAGTGTTTGTTAAAAACTATATCTCCATCATTTATAGATATCCATCAGGGATTACTTAATTTTGATTGGGACCAGAAGTTTTCTTGGGTATACCTGTCTTTGTGGTGAGTGGGCAAGAGTTAAAAGATTCACTGCAACAAACCTTTTGTGCAAACTCCTTCACAGTCTTATACAACTTATTCCCTTCTTCTGCAAAATACTCAGCCTGGGTGAAGAGGTCTTGCGTGGTCCTGAGAGGACCCTCCCCCCGAGTGAACAAGTACATAGAAAATGCCATGCTGGACATGTTTTTGGCACGTTTCACGATATCATTGTCTGGTTCCTCCCATTTTTCTGTCTCAGCATCCATTTCCGATGTGATTAACTTCATTTCTAGACCTAGCTTTGCTATCTTGGCTTGCTCCTGAAATAAAAATAACATTTTCATTCAAAAACATGTTAACTATACTACAATATAACCTTCTTTTCTTGTTTGAATCTTACTACAGAATTACCTGCATCTTATAAATAAATTATAATTAGATCATTTTATCCACCATGCTTTCCTGGTGCCACTATTAGTCCAGGGGCACTTGGCTCACCAAGTTCACATGCTACCAAAATAACTGCCAGTTGCCATACTGGTTTCTGTGATTTTATGTCTATATTTACGCAGATAACACTTATTAAGCTTCCAAATCAATTTTCTGGTTGTTCAATTCTTTTCCACTTGTCAGTTTCAAGTCTTTGTAAATAACTGGTTGGATCATTTCATTCTTCTGAGAATGTCTATGAAACTAATCTGCTCTATAGGATTTTTTTCAACATATTCCCCATCCACGTAATCTGATTCCACAACAGCATCTCAAGAATATATCTGTTTTTCCTGCACTGAAGCTACAACAAAATTAACTTCTTATGAAAGAAAGAAAATTAAACTGTTATTATTGTTAGGCTTGAAAGGAATGCTTTTTCTGGATTTATTATTTTAAGGATGTGTATTAAATTAGTCTATTCTATAGAATTGTTTCAGCATATTCCTCATCCACTCTTATCTTATTCTAAACCAGCATATGAAGTATTAAAATATTTTTCTAGCATTAAAGCTACAACAAAGTGTGTTACTTCCGAAAAAATATTTAACTGGAATAGTTGTCTAGCTTGAAAGGACGTAATCCTTTTTCCATTTTCATGAAATTGGTGTCCTTACTTACTTCAGGACTACCATACTCAATTCAGAATAGCAATACAGGACTCTTACTACATACAACTGTCTAGATCTAAAGGCACATTCCCAGTCCAGGTCTGATGGATTACACTGAACTCAGCATAAACTGTGATCACAATTTCTTGCCATCCATAACATTTTACCTAATCACAGCAATTTAACTCAATAGAGGTGGCCAGACCAGCAGGCAGATTAGACAGGCAATGTGCCTAAGATACACTCCATGGGTGAAAGTTGTAAGAAAGTGATAATCCTAAAAATGTAGCCGAAGGACAGGGGCCTCCTGACAGGTCCAGGGCAACAAATGAAGACTGACAATCTGGAAATCCAGCATAATCCAGAAACTTTCACCCATGTACACTCACACTTACAACTAACTACTACACCCAACCACATAAAAATTCTCAAAGAGATTTCTAGTTAAACTGAAAAAAAAATTCTCAGTCCAATGTGTTTACTTAATGTTTACATATCATGTAAACAATTTTTAAACATTGTATCTTTGGTAAAAATAAATATTTCAGATACCTACTACTATACAATTCATAAAACCCCAAGAAATACCACAAACAAAAAAAAAAAAAAAAACTTGGGTTTCCTTTTGCTTAAACTGAAATATGTCTTGATTTTTTACTTTGCCCCAAAATCTTAATATAATTTCTTTTTCATTTTAAAATTCATCCAGTGGAGAAGAAAATGCAAAATTGTAACAATATTATATGTATATTTCAAAGTGTGGGTTCTCATACTATATGATTACTGAAACAAACATCTCAGATATACAATATTCAGGAAGCAAAAGCAAATATAAGAGCAGAGAGAAGAGCCTCAATCAAAGACATCCTAAAACAAAATATGCAACAGACTTCTTGCAATTCACTAGCAAATGTGATCAGTAAATGAAGTCTAAGTGGCACATAAAATTTTAAGCCAACAGAGCCTATTAACAAATAAGGTAACCATATGAAGTTCACAAAGCTAAATTTTTATCTTCAGTACATAAATAAGCTTCTGGCCATTTGTGCATACAGAGTACAGCAATCATAACTAGGATCCTGTTCACATGACTAAATTAGACAGAAACTAGTCTAGCATAATTCATAACATACATCACAACAGCCATGTGGTATAGGGCTTTAAACCTAAACAGCTTTAAAGCCTAATAATTAGCAATCTTGTGACATCAGCTACACTAGTCCAAGTCTAACTCAGTCCTGTTGTGAACACTGGTTGTAAAATCATACTGCAAAACCAATCGCAATATTAGTAAAGCTAGCACAGCTATGCTACACTAAAAACAATTAAGTACCTGGGGATATTAAATGAAGTTGGTTAAAATAAGCAGAACTGATTTTAACAGTATGTCCATGTTTTATGTTCAACTTTTAGCCTTATTTAACTGTATCATTTCAACATAATAATAATTTTACTATACACAAAAGTTGACAAGGACTCTCTGTCACGTAGACACTTACCTTTCTTCAATTAGTAGTTAATACTGAACTATAGTCACCACGAATGTGTTTTATATTTATCTTTTTTATAAAGTTTGAAACATTAGTCATCAGTCCTGGGCAATTGATATGGCTACTGGCTGCAAACTAATAATAAATGAATTTTTCAATATTAAGAACCTAGTTAAATAACAGTTAAAACCATCATTTTTAGATAAACTTTCAATTTTCACAAAATTTACCTTTGGACTAATAAATTTTGAGTCAGACTTGGGTTTTTAAGGTCTACAAGTCCTAGTGACCATTAAACTGAGAAGTACATCAGCAAATTTTATATTTCAACCAACTTCAGTATAGATCACAGTGAGCTCAGGGTTCAAACTAAACACTTCTGAAAACATAACATGCCACACAACTATACAGCTTCCAGTGCAATCTCACATTACCTCCGCATTTAGTTTCACTGGCTTTGGGCTCTTTAAGGTGGTTCCATGTTTCTAGGTAACAGAAGAAAAAAAACAACACACATACAAAGTCATCACAAACATTTTATGACCAATATCCAGTGGGTATCATGTTTGACAAAGGTGACAGAACAAATTTCACAGACAGGCAGGAATAATCTTTCTTAACTTACAAGGAAATGTTTTTTAAGTGCAAGATACATTCAACACTACATGTCACAATGACTGTTAGCATGCAGAGAAATCAAGATCACGACAAAACTACAAGTGAAAACTCAATCATCTAACTTTGAAAGCATAACAATCACTATGCAAAAAATGATCAATAGGTTACAAAATACACACTGAGCATGCTCAAAGGCCAAATAAATGCGAATATTACAATCACACAGGGAAAATTGCAAAAGAGAGATGGATGGATAAGGAAATAAATAGTCATATTGCATGACTTTGTGAAACAAATATAAATTCAGTTTAAGAAATAAGAGAGGAGGCTCTGGTAGGACAATATAGGTTGACAGCTTGGTGAGAGGCAGAGCTACAAAAGAGGGGGAAGGAAAAAAGAACAATGAAAAGATGAGGTTGGGGACGGTGGATACAGTAGGACAAAATAATTTTTAAGCCAAACACCTAGGAAGATTGGTCAGAAGAACTGTAAAAGAGAAGGAAAAAGAATACCTAACATTGAAAAAAGGGAGAGAGGGGGGAAGGGAGAGAGAGAGAGAGATAGAGAGAGAGATAGAAGAATTGACTGGCAGTGCAAATATCATTTAATATAAAACAAGAAAGAAAGACCAAAATAATAATAAGATGGCAATACCAAATACATTATACTTACACTGACATTAGTTGGGGAAGGTATCTAAAATGGCAGGTGCAAAATGAAAAAGTACAAGAAAAAATTATATCAAACAGAAAACATACAACATGAGCATTAAGACACACACCAAATTAGCTGACCATGAAATGACAAGCCAGTGGCAATTTGGCCAAGGGTTAAAATGTAACCTCTACCATTTTTCTCCCTTTTGACTACAGCATAAAAACATTGCTTTGGGTCAATAATTTCACTTTTATTAATGTTTCATCAAATCAAATTTTCTTTTTATAGCAGTGTTATTCAGCTAATTGGCAAATACATTATTACAAAATATAAAGCATGCTAGAGAGAGAGAGATCTGAGAAGGAATTTAACCTTTCATCATTTCATGGCCAGTATATTGCTGCAGCATACACCTGAATTTAATAAAGCGTGAAGTTAACAGGATATGCTTCATTGAATATTTAGTACAGCACCTGCTACCGCACATATTTACTATCAGATTACTAAGAAACACACATGCTAGTTGCTTTAAGTCAACCCGCTGTTAATAAGTACAGTTATATGGTGCATTAACTACTAATTTCTATCTAAAAAAAATGGTGAAAGCCTTTTTACAGTACGACTTAAGTGTGTTAAAGGAATATTATTAAGTGTATCATCATAAGTACATCTGCTTCCTTTTGGTCAGTCACAGACACTGGCATGCAAAAAATTATAGTTCACTAATAAAATGCCACTATAGTTATATACTACTGTGTGCAAACTGATATCTTTCAAGCTCACCCTGAGTTTCAGATGCTACTGGCAACAGCAGAGGCATGCTGATAATGGAGGTAAGTTTCCAGTTATCTCTGAAACTCAGGGTGGTGAAGCTGGACTATCTATACATAACACACAGGAAACTATAACTTCCTGTTTCCTGTTGCTACCTCCTACCATTTGCTGCCCATGAAGTGGTGTACATTCTATCTTATTACTTCCAACCATTTTGTTTAAAAAGCTAAAGATTATTTACAGAACAATACAATGCTTAAAACAATGATCCCATTTGACAAGCTGACAGATGTTTTCTAAAATAATTGATATTAAAATAATGATTGTTAAGGTGAAGATAATAAAGTTTAAAAATACAACAAAATTTACTGATAAAAGTAAGTTATGTAAAGAAAGTATATAAATAACCACAAATAGTATTATATTTATATGTGAAAATTATTGTAGCAAATGTTTAGGTAAAACTTGTACCCTACTGAGAATTCCTATAATCAAAATGATCTTCAAAGTAGTGTGATTAAAGAAAGAAAAATAATTATATCACTGTTCTCAATTCAAACTCAATTATACTTCTATGCCTTCATATTGCCAAAACTAAAATAAAAGGACCTTTTTTCAATTAATAAGTAAAAAAAATTCAGCTATTATTAATGACTCATAAAATGGTCTGCTATTATAAATAAAGCCTAATCCACTCCACTTACCCCTGGCCTTGGCAGTGACATATACACCTGCCTATCTGCCCTGCCCTGATACACATCATTAATATCCTTGACCAGGGCCGAGAGCTCATTGATCTGGGCCTCCCAGGCATCTGTGAAGACGTCTACGTTCTCCCTGGCTATCTTACTAGCAGGGTACATAGCCAGTGTCTGGGCAGACAGGATTGTCTGGGTTGAGATAAATACTACAAGTTTATATTAATTCTTTTCATGAGAGACTTGTTAAATGTTAATTAATCTATTCAGGTACATGTATAAAGATAAACTCAGTAAATAGCGATACCTGCCATATATTACCATGGAATATTTATTGCTGTAGCTAAAACCAGCTTATACATTAATACAACATTGTGAAATAATTATGATTTTTTTCAGCTAAAGTGTGATGCATTTAATGAAAAATTGGCATGTTGATGCCAGCATATATTTTGAGAGAAAAAAACTTATAATGTACCTGAGGTCCCAGATACTTCAGATTGTTTTCTATGTATTCTGCAGTGGTCATCAATGCTTCAGTTCCAGCCACATGACGCAGCAGCTTGCAAACCTGAAGACAGATAGACAGATAGATACACAGACATACACACAGACAGACAGAGGCAGACTGAATGACAGACTTAAATGGATACAAACAGATATAGATATAGTTGGATAAAAATATATACCAAGATGAATAGAAGCATGAATCAGAATACTGTGTTGCAATGTCCATCAACAAAGATCACTGCAACAACAGCAATAAAGTCACCTCTTGTAGCTGTTCAGAGTGTTCCTCAAACTTTACAGACACCTCATCCACGGCCCCTTTCTCTCCATTACTCCCAGCATTCCTCAGTGCTGTGAACAGTTCCTGTTCTTCATTGCTGTGGAAAACCTCCGAAGCTTGATCCATAGCTGTTTCTTGCAGCTAAAAAATAGTACCCTTATTATTCATTCATAAACTACATATAAACATATATGACAAACAGAAAAGAAAGAAGTCTCTTTCATAAAACAGAAATTGAATATACAAACATATTCTAAATCACAGTCATCAACATGCTTCCAACAAAATAAACAAAAACATCCTTCGGGTTTCAATATAACTTTGTAACTTTGTAAACTGCTGTCACAATATGCCACACAAATAACTTAAAAATACTGTGGTACTTGATTGAATAAAAAATCACATTTTCAGGTATGGTGTGGTCTATGGTTTCAACTTTCACTTAACAATTATAAGTACCCTAATGCTGACTACCTGTTTTCTCAATGATTTGGCCACTGTCCCTGTCCTGATAATTGCAGTCTCCAGCTCTTGATTGGGAGAACTATCACGATCATTCTGAAGCAGAGATATCAAAACTAGTTAATCTTCCTAATTATTTGTTTATTTTTCTCTTCGTTTTTCAATTTCCTGGATCAATTTTAACTATTTCTAACATAAAATTGAATTACCACTGAATCATAAATTGTAATTCTTTGTTTTTTACTTTCTGAATGGACAAACACAGCATTTGAGGAAAGTTTGAATGAACAACTCTGATAAAAATTCTATTATCCGGAATCTCAGAGCAAATGGAGCAATCCCTGTTTATCTAAGTTTTCTACAAGTCAAGTGATCAAGCTTGCACATAGGGTTTGCTTGCACATAAGGTTTATCTAAAACAAGACTTGAAAAACAGGTTGCTAAAGTTGTTCTGAAATCAGGGTCTTTCTCACCAGTGCCCCTCCAATCCTCAATAATATATCTAGCTCTAGTCTTGCTTTTTCACACAACTGTACAATCTTCTCCCTGTGTTCATGGGAAGTATAGGCAGAGTCTGTGAAATCCTGTGCTGTCTCGATCACTGTTTCTAAGGCACTGGGCATCTTCTCTTGCATGCTGCTATCAATGAGGGTGACACGACTCATCTCTAGAAGATCCTGTTGTAATAATGGGAGGAAATAACATCTGTCATGTCTCCAGAGGAATTAATAATAATGATGATAAAGATCTATGTACTAAATACATCTGACCAAAGATCAACTGTGTAGTAAAATAATTTCACCAGCGTAATTGTGCGTGCAAAAAAGAATAAAATTATATTTTAATCAATCAAGGTGCATACTTCAAACTCCCTCAAAGCTTTGTGAGCTGTAATCTGTTGCTGGGAGAGTCCTATTCCTGAGTCTCCATTGAGCTGGGATTGGGACAGTTGCACATTAGATGGTGGGACATCACATACTATTTGCTGGACAAAGTCCAGGGCTTTGTACATCTGACGGAACACACAGTCCCTGTTTTTTCTGGCTGACTCACAGTCTGGGTGCCTTAAACAGGTCTGAAAAAACAAATGCAAAAAAGATCCAAAGGCCATTATAAGGCAATTCAACAGTATTTTCCCCTCCACGGACATTTGCACATCAAATTATCTTTTTCACTTAGTTAACTGATGGGAAATAAAGTAGCAAAATGCTTTTCAGAAGTAAAATAAAATATAGGGAGGAAACACTGTGCTATAAAACATCTAGACACATTTAAAAAGTAATTCCCCTATCAGAGGAAGTCCATTTGGGACTGCAATGAGTACTTATGGGTACTAAGTTGATTTTTTTCTTAATAACTCTTTTCCACTGGATGTTAAAATGAACCTTGTTAAAGCATACCTTTGAGGCGGTAAGGAGCATCATGGTGGATTTTTCAAGAATGGATCTGGCTACAGCCATCTGAGCTCTCTGTTTGTCATTCTTAAGATCCTAGAATAAAAGTATGAAAATAAATATCACTTCTTATAAATACTATAATTAATCATATGAGACTAAAAGCAGAAGTTTCTTTGCCATGAACTGACAAAGTTCAGCAACTTGGTAAGTGCATTATTCTCTTAGGACGACCAGTGCAAATCTAAATATGTTACGTTTGTCAAGCAGCATCTTGGAAGAAATTTGAAAATAACATCAAAAATAGAAAAAGAATTCAAAGAATAAAGACCTCTATCAAATAAAAAAACTAATAAAAATATCAGAAGACCTAACTTCTGTACAAATTGTAATCATATCTTTCACTCTTGAATAACTTCCTATCCTGAAAGTTTGATGAAAATTTGTGAAAAAGTTTTTGATATCTCGTTCATTAACAAACAGATATATGGACACCCATGAAAACAACCTCATTCACTAAAACATTATCACATTGAAGGTAAAGTAGGGGAAATAGTGAGGCCAAAACTAAAAGCTGAAAAAAAAAGGAGTTTACATACAACGCATGTTCATAAAGGTCAATTTGTACTCAAGACATTGATAATTCTAGTTTCACCAGTAATTCAATTTTGTCTGTGTGACATGTACAAACACTTAACATTGATTTTGACTGCTGTTTACAAAATATCTGAAAAAAGATCTATAGTTGTGTTCACATTAGGGGCCATTTTAGACTGGAAATAGGTATTACTCGAGTCAAAATTTAAGATAAAAGAAATTTTTCTGAGGAATCTGATAATGTGATGGTGTGCTTTATGCCAATTTATTACATGAACAAATCCTAATGTATTTATAGTCTATGCTTAACACGCACACGCACACACACACAATTTGTTTATCTATCTCTGCACTTGCAGTGCTAGTCAGTAGATAATTGCAATAGCCATGACAACTCTCTTTGTCACAAGGATCTTGGCTTGTCACTGATTGTTCATGATTTGTGTCAAGTGGTCAAGTGGCCAATCAGTGACCACCCAATATCATTGACAGGAGGATGCAATGTTATCATAGTTGTGGTAATCAAGGGCAGAAATAGAACCAAATATCTATGAATATATTATCACCCCTTTTTAAATATTTAATAATCATAAACAATTAAACAACTTGAACAAATTTAAGTTTCTGAACATTATTAAGGTATGCATTTGAGATAGCATATGTTATAGTTAAATATCTGTTTACATTCTGTCTGTCTCCTGTGACATGGGCAAGTTCCACCATTTCATTACCAAACTGGCTGAACAACTTGACAAACTCTGTAAAACTGGTCACTGACTCTAGTCGGTCTAGGCTTCTGGTCACCTATAAATATGCAAAAAAAAAAAACACAAAAAAAAAATCAGATAAAAAAATGTTAAAGACAATAAAAGGTATGAGGGGAGTATTTTGAAGTATCTCACAAAATCCAATTAAAAATCCATCAAGATTATGTTTTGCCATGATGACAAGTGTTAACAACTCTTTGTAATAATTTTTTTATTTTCCATGTACTAAAACAAATTCATAGATCCGGGGGAGAAAGCCTCATTTTATTGGCACAATTCACTAATAAAAAATTGATGAAGTACAATCCCAAGTGCATTTAGATCATTGTAAATAATTCAGAATAACATCTATTTTAATAGTGACGGAGTTGTTTGGCTAATCAATCTCCAAGTCCCAGAGGCATTATCCTACAAACAATGCTCATTACTGGTTTTTAAGCCAGTATTTATTTAAAGAGGCAAGCGTAACTGCAATATAAATGCTGTCAACTACATTTAAGACCAATTAAACCACTACTCAAAATTATCATCAATCTGCATTATGCAAATAAGAATGTAATCATCCAAGATTTGGGGCATATTAATCACATCTAATATCTGATAATATATCATAAACAGTACTATTTATAGCAATGAAGTTTTATCAAAGGCACAAATAGTTGTCCGTAAATAGGAAATTCTACAGTCAATATAATAGTTAACAAACCTCTAAATCATATTATTACAAAAATGAATCATGATATAAAAAACTATAACTTTATCTTTCAAGGCAATATAATGCAGATTATCATCAGAAACTGGTTTTAACAGAAAAGAATATATTGGCCTATCCATGTTCCTGTCTTAGTCTACCCCTTCCCCCCTCCTTAAGTCCAAGCAAACTGCCAATGGACAAAGTCATTGATTTCTAATTCTACAGAGTAGAACTTGAGCTTGCTGCACAAGTATATACACATCAAAGCACCCATCACCACAATAGCAGTTTTAACAGCAAAATGCAACTTCAAAAGAAAAGAATGTATAGGCCTTTCATCCTTTTTACTCACACTTTTGCTATATCAAGAACTACAACTCTAAAGAAACATGAAAGCAAACCTGAAAACTATTTTTGCAAACAGTATTTATTCAAGAAAACTGGGCCAACAAGTGCTATTGGCCTTGGAAAATATTGATCCTTTGAGAACCACTCACCTTGTATTAGCAACAGTTATAACACTGATCAATTCTTATTTCATGGTCTTATATCATCATTTATATCAACATTAAATGACCATACAAGAGAAGACAGTATTAATGTTAATTCAACCAACATCTTTCCTTCATATAACAGACAAAATCTATAGTATGTGTAAGATTCTTATATGCAGTACACATTTTACAGAAATTTTCGAATGCAATGGGTGTCTATTCACAAAACAATGAAAAATGTTACTGCAGAGGGTCAAAATTTACTGATGAGCTCTGACCAACTGAATTTATCAACATGGTAAAGGTGGGGTACTGCTGGCCCAGTACAAAGGCCTCGGCCTCCAGATCCATGCTTATCAAACCCTTTTCTGACCTTGGGCTGGTTTCACAAAACTATTATAGACTAAAAGTTAGTCTTAAAATGCAGACTAAAATAAAACTTATGTGCAATATAACCCAAGGCAAATCATTAATGATCCCCTTGAAATGTTTTTTTAAGTTTTATGAAAAAAAGCCATGGCATTTTAACAATATTTATTTTAACAAAATACTATTAAATGATCTAGAAGTGAAGAGGACCAAACTTTTCAGTCTTAAAAGTTAAGACATAACAGTCCTGGATTTTTGTATCTGGCATCTGTTTCATCGTTTCCTTAAAGTTTTCCTCTGCTGTCCACCAGCATGATGACAGACTGCCATTGCCCTATCCAATCCAAATATGGCTTCCAATACTAATATGGACTCCCCACACCCACCTCCACTTCCACATAAGCACACCCAAATATGTCCACTCCTCACCTTTTCCTTAGTGTCTACTATCTGTTTGATGACCACTCTGTCAGCCAAGATCAGGACTCGTGTAATGGCAGACAGGAGTTGTCTGGCTGCTCGTACCATAGAGGTCTTCTCTGTGAGAGACCTAGGCTGTCCAGTCTCATCCACAGCTATGTCTGTTAGCTGCTGAATGGCTGCACCTAGACAAAGTAAAATTTTATTCATAAGTTCAAAGATAAAATTATTGATAATGGAAAAATTATTAAGAACTACAAGTCCACTGGTCATTCCACTAGACTCGTTCTATTTTTTACTAGTGAAACATCCACCAGTTTGTTACTTTGTACCAGCTGATATTGTCCAAAACTATAATTTCTAAGACTACATTACAATATCTTTAAATACTAACAACATGATGTCTGACAGAATACCAGCATAACCCTCCACTGTCTTTCATGGATGGCTTCTGCTGGATTCAGTGGATCTTTTAAAAATAAATGGGACAGGGGGGTTCTTAATTTCAAAGGAATTCTTTATAGTTGATTAAAAAATGAAAAATGACATATAAACTTAATTTAATCATCTTATCTTGCAGAAGGCAACAAATAGATTGTGTCTAACACCCCATTTCCATAGATTTTAGATCGATCTATCCCTGTGGGGAGTCTCACTAGATTACTGTCAGCTTAGCCGGCTTAAGCGTCTGTCCCGCCTACTGAAAGCTGTAAGGGGGTAATTAACTATGGTGCGCGCTCGACTGACTGCAATTTAGCTTGAACCCCCAGGGAGTTAGGTCGATCTAAATCTTAATCCCTGGATCGATCTAAATCTCTGGGAATACACCCTAAGTTAAAACAAGTTGTTAGTACCAGCAGACACTTATTTACATGTTTATATTATAGACAGCTCCCAAAAAGCAGGCAACAGCTATCCAAAAGCAGTAATGAAAAGATTAAGGTAACACGCATGTACAACAGCTGTTTGAAATCCTCTCTATTAAATAAATGGAGGGTAAAAATAACCTCAGGTGTTCTTTGATTACTTAAATCTAGCAATAACATGAACATCTTCCAAAAACAGAACTGTGCACCTTTTAACCCTACCTTAGCAAGCAATTCTTCTTGTTCATTAACTTCAACCAAACCAATAAGAAGCCATATCTATGATAAACTGGTTAAAATAAATCTAGCAATTCTAATTTCATTTGAACAAAACATATTCATTCTTTGCAATTAACAAATTTTTCAAAAAAGGACACATTAGCTTGAGTATCTTTTTACCTGCCAGACATGCCTCTTTACAAGCTTCACACATTTCATTCTTGATTTCGGTGTTTTCTGCAGCAATGGCTTCACCCACTGTGACAAAGCGCTCTACGGCCAGATTCACTGCCTGGCCTACGCGGACCAAGGCTCGTACTGTCTTTTCTGACTTCCTTGCCTTTTCTTTGTGGTTTACCAATGTTGTGATCTAGAAAAATAGAAGAATGACAAGTTGAAGTAATACTAAAAGTGATCAACAAAACCACAGAGAGAAACCACATGTTTAAATAAGCGGAAATTGAAATAGTATAAGATGCATCATAGGCAGTTTCTGAAAACTTAACTATATGTAAACAAAACAGGGAAACCTTTTTGTATCCACACAAAATTATATGTAGAATCTGGCATAAGTATAAATGCCCATTCGGGTCAATCTCAACGATCAACAAAAATTGATCGCTAAGAGCAAAAGAAGAAGAGTCATGATAAACTTCCACTTGATTATTTGTTTACAACTATTACAACACACACAGATAAAAAGCACAGGGAGTGTATTATTTATAACATAAGGTAGTGTTTTATTTATAACAAAACAATTTAAGTTAGCTAATGATAGCACATTTTTGCTACGGAAGTGATTTTTAATAACTTGTGAAGTATGTCCAATTCTTTCTCCTACTATTAATGAAGGCCTATCTATTTACAATTTGACAGTTTGAGTAGCAAAAGTTCTAAAACCAGCATTAGTTGAAAATACTTAAAGGAAAAATAATATCACATATAAAGACTCACAAATTCAATGGCAAGAGATGACCATGGACTTCCATCAAAAGAGACATTTAAAAAAAAATAGAAACATTGGAAATGATTTTGAATTAAAACAAAGGGTGAAGTTGGCAGCAAAAAAATATAATCAAAAATACCACCAATATAAATATATTAAAATCAAAGTATTCCACCAAGACCTCCCCCCTTCTCTTGTTTTTGTCTTGAATAAAATTAGTTTTTATACCTTATCATCACTGTCAACACTGAAAGTTCTTGGCATTTTTTGATATTTATAATGAACTATTTGGCACCTAGTAGTTGCTCTACAGCAAGTTAGGTATATTATATGTTACTGGCATTTATTCTTGAAGAAAAGCTCCAGGCAACCTTCAACATTCAAATCCTTCCCTCTACAAAATGCCGGGTGATAACGTTTTTTTTTTTTTTTTTTTTTTTGCAAAATTTAAGCATTGCATAAATGTGCACAGAATAAGCCAAGGGAAAAAATCCATTTATAATATCAACAGAAAAAATTTTCCATTACCCTGGTAGAAGGTATGCAAGCTTTTTCAACTTGACAAGTGTCTTTGATATGCTACTGACACAGGGCTACTATCATGCTGTTACCATTGTTTTCACTGTCATAACCCTACAGTCTCCTGGGGCTGAAGTGCTAGCATGTGGATCCTACTGAGAAAACATCCTCTTGAAATGGCCACTTTACTGTTATAAAATGTGTAAATTTTTTTCAAAATAGAAGACTAAAGAATTGTGGCATTTGGAACAGGACTTTCAACTACAGAGCATATTCATTAAGAGTTTTAGTGTGACACCAAGTTATGAATTATGTGTAAAATAACCTGTAAACTTTACTGGTGTTAAAGACAGTAATTATTGTAATTAATGTTATATTGGCAAACCATAAATATCTAACCCATATCATATACTTGCTGACACAACAGTTAAACTGTGACAGTAATTAATTCTGTGTTTGTTTCTTTGATGTTGTTCCAATACTGCACAAGATGGGATATCTCATTTCACTACTAGTACATGTCTCAGTCATCAGTGAAAGTTAAACAATTACAAATCAAAAGTGACAAACGATAATGAATAGCTTTCGGTTGGGAGAGGGGGAGGGGTTCATTACATGTCTCAGTTATCAGAGAAAGTTAAACAATTGCAAACCAAAAGTGACAAATCATAATTAATAACTTTATGTTTGGGAGAGGGGGTTATAAGCATCCACACATTAGCTGGAGTATGCAGTAAAATAATAAATTAATGACTAGTGATTAATTGTCATAGTAGAATAGACATCAATCAAATATAAATACATGATTCATGCCACTGACATTACATTTACAGCTAGCAGAAACAAGAATATGATGCTGCCTGCACTCAGTCAAGTGATAAGCCCATATAGCATGCTCCATCAAATTTAGTTACAAGACTGCATATTTGCACATATACAACTCATTACGTATCAACTGATAAGGCAGTTCCTACCTAGATCACCATGTTAATTGGGTGCATGTTTAGAACAGGTGATAGAGCTATCAAAACTAGTACCAAATGCCCGATGTGGAAATATTGCCTTCTTTCATTAAGACCTATGAAAGACCACATTCATATACAATCTACATTCTATATCAATTATTCCCCCTCTCTGATTAATGCCATGATGAGAATGGTGAAAATGACAAATGTTGTAATCACCATGACAAAAATAAGACAGTGATTATATGCTCATGCTATGTACTCAGTATCTTAAACAATACCATTTTCTATTCAATATCTCATCTAAAAAATCATAAACATAGCAAAGGATGTCAGGTTTTAGACTGCTTAATTTTCCACATCCATGTTCATAACACAATGTCCTAATAAATTACAATATCAAGCTAGACTAGGATGCAGAATGAATATTGCTCTCTTTCACTAAGCCTTGGTTCAATATGCAATAAGATATAGCCCTGATCCTTCAGATCTTTGCAACTATTCAAACCATGATTCTGTTGAAAACAAAGTCAGAAAACACCTTTGAGGTGATGATTCATCAGAGCTGCACATCAAATGAATAATCCAATTATGTATGCAATGCACGAAAATATACTCTGAAGCAAATACAGGTTGATGTATAAAATCTTCAGAAGGATTTTTAAACTGCTATTGATGCAGCTATCATTTCAAATTATGCTTCATGACATTTTTGTAACCTAAAATATATATATATGCAAATTAACATGGCACAAGTGACACAAATGAACAACTTAAAATAACAGAATAATCAATTAAAAATAACATTAAAAAAATTAATCAATAACAAGAAATAGCAAACAATGTGTGTAGACATACAGTTGCAGCATAAATAACACTATTAAAGATGACAGATAAGTGATTTCTCAAGGGTGAATGTAAATGAATCATAACAGCCGATAAAATACATCCCAATCAAATTTGGCATGCAAACCATTTTTAGTACCAGAGGCAATGTGGTAGCTTCATACTCTACTAGTAGTAGTCTGTTTAAATGCTACTTATAACAGCACACAAAAAGAGAAAATTGAAAAAACTCATAAATGTAGAAAAAAGCCAATCTCTAAATTTGAAATACTTTGTACCCAACCAAATACCAAATACCTATTGTCATTTTCATTGATTTCTAAAGTCTTCTTATGCTTTTGGTTAAATTAGATATCAAAAATGTAAAATACCTTTTAAAAGGCATTCCATATACTGAATTATCAGCATAGTCTTCATCTGGATTTGTTAAAAATAACATCTATTTCATGGGAACCATACTTATTATTATCCTTTTTTATTAATAATATTTTGAGGTAGCCCTTAAAAGTTTTTTTTTCCTATTGGCATGATTTTTCTAATTTTATATGTATGAAGGACAGTGATCTCTTCAAACTGAAAAAAAAATTGGAAAATATCCAGGTTAGAATTCTCAGTGGGGTTCTTGGTTATTACCAATGTAAACAAGCACTGTTTAGCACAGCATCGTTTATACTATGTGGGCACATCCAGCACCATTTTAACTAAAACTGTTTTCAGACTTACCTCAGAAAGTACAGGTAGATGGGTTGATTGAAGTCAAACACCTGGGTCACTCACCTTATCCCTGATTGTAACCTGCTAGATGGGATGACCACTTAAAAACAGGGATCTCATAATATGTGACAGTAATCAAGCTCTTTCCTTTCTTGAGTTAGTCAAAAAACACTTTTGGTTTGAAAGATGTTAGAAGCAGCCTGGGATTGGGAGTCATTACTTCCAAGCTCCAAGTATCACCTGACTATGGGAGTCTGAACTTTTAGCGTATACACCTAGCTAGATGATACATAGGCAGTAGATAAGAACACAAGTGTGTATTTCACAACCTTACAACAGAAAGAATTTTGTGGTTACTAAATATACATTTCTGTGGTAAATTTCTTCCTAAAAGTTGCAGCACTTTCTTTTATATGCCCCCACTGATCACCTCTGGCTTGTTTTTATGCCAGATCTGATAACAGAAACCATTCACTCCAGTACAGTCTCCTATATAACGTAAACATCTGCTGAAATAAATGTTCTGTGTCAGCTTGGGAAAGGTTTTAGTCTGCAGGGTGTGAAGTATGTGTGAGATATCATAACAGAGGCTGGATTTGTTTGTTTGTGTTAGTTATTGTTGGTATTAGCCTGTGTGATTGTTATTGTTTGCTGTTTGCATATGGTTTATGTAGTTTACTTTTGCATTATGGACATTCTGCCACCTACTGAGATCAGATTCTATGGCTGCATTTAGGGAGTATCACCCAAAAAATGTTTCAGTTAAACTTCAGGATGTAGACATCCGATTTCAAACTCCTTTTGCTACATAATCAGTTGTATACTTGTCAATTGCTCACTGAACTTGCAAAATAACTTAAGGAGAGACTCAGTGTTATAGCTACTGCTGAATATCTGCAAGAGCACTATTCCTTAAGTTAAAGAAAAGTTTTTCTAAAGGCTATCTGTGTACCAAATTTATGCATTCAAATCTTAAATATGATTATTGCAGGTTATGCAAAACTGACCATAAAAACTCAATTGCTTGACTTTTAAATAATTACCCAAGACATGGCATATGCACTGGAATAATAAGTACATATGCTGGAATAAATCAGTGTTATAAGTATTATTCTATTCTTTTTGTTATCAAATTGTAACAAAACAGGTGGCAAACCAAATTTTCATCAGGAATCAATCAAAATCTTTTTACCTATACTGTGGTTGTAAAAAATATTGTCATGTTATGGTCATTGTAAAAAAAATCTACTTGTACCGATATAAATAAACAATAAAAACATATTCTGAACACAAATCTTAGTCTTGCTGTTTGGGGGCCGTAGCGATAGTCCGAAGGTTCAATAGTCCGAAGGTTCATTGGTCCGAATGTTCACTACAGAACCTTCAGACCAATGAACCCTTGATTAAAAAACCGATGAAAATGTTACCGTTTTTCGGACCAATGAACCTTCGGACCAATGAACCTTCGGACTATCGAGACGCCCCCGCTGTTTGTCATGCATGTACATTTATTTTCATAAACTTTATATTTAGGAGATTCCTTTGTCAGTTACCAAAAGAACATTTTTGTATACAGTTACTGCCCTTGCATTTCCTATTCACTTAATCTTAATTTAAACTTTCTTTCTGGATATTGACACGTTAGTATTTAACCTACAAGACATTACAAATTCTACGTCGCAGTGCGAGCATCCAATTTTCATTTATGAAAGCATTTACAAGTACCTTTGAATTTTCCTGGATTCGTTCACAAAAGCAGTTTGCAGACAAGCTTTTTAAAATTAAACTTACCGATAGATCACCTTGCAACTTACAAGTCGCAGCCGCAGTGCGGTGACAAAATTGTTTAGACTTGCAAATGTAAATAAACCAGTGTGATATTTTAAGCTTTCAAACCAAATTCAGCAAGTCACCCTACAGATCTAGTGCTTGCAAACTAATGGGTATACATTTACGATAGAACGTACCTGAGTTACAAGTGGAATAAGCGTCTGCTCTACAGATTTTGTCTTAATTTCTAACGACAACGAATCTGACCGCAGAGGAGTCGCCATCTTTTATCTGATAAAGGTAAAGGTCGTCTGCAATGCTTACAACATTACAAAAATATGCAAATATTATTCCATTGTCAAATTAAATACATTTTACAACCTAATATGCCCAAAAGGTAACATAAATAAACATCTCTAAAATAATACAACCTAGCCTAACATAAAAATGAGTGCTCATTTTAAGGATGTAAGCGATTTAACAGTGTCAATAATAAAAGCATTGAGCATATGGACTGACAGGGGGCGGTTTCTGCCAGTGTTTTGATGACGACCGGGAGGTTTTCTCGTATATGGATCATGTGTTTTTGACCACAAGAAGATCGCATGTCGTTGGTGATGGACAGTGCGACAAGACGAAAATCAAAATCAGATGAAAATGAGGTGAGGGGAAAATTATATACATCTCGGTACGCTTTGAATAAAAAAAAGAGGAACTGGGTGAGAATAAGAAACATACTAAGTACCACACTCAGCCAGAGCGCCGTCGCGAAATATTTCAGGAATTTGTGTGCCTTAAATATTTTTAAAGGCATATCGTCTTTTGTGGATTAAAGGATTGAGAACGCCACGTTTGACCTGATTTTATTTGCACCGAGCTGATCTTTACTTAGTACGTTGTACCAGGGACCAGATGGTATCGAAATTATCTCCCGCGAAGAGGAAACAACGTCGGCATACCAGTTTACTTTAGAACTAGGCCATTGGAACCAAAGAAAGATAATTGCTATGTAATAATTGTTTTAGAGGGTGCTTAGCGAGGGGGGTAGAACATAAAAAATATTAAGGATGGGACTGATAAAAAATGCAAAATACCATTTTTAGATGTTTACACAAAATCACCATTAAATAAAAATTAATTAAAAAAGATGTTGAAAATAAAAGAGTTATATGGTTGTCATGGTTGGGGATGAATACTGCAAAAGTGCCAAATAATTGAGGTGAAAGACGGTCACTTCCATATCATATCACAACAACACTATATATTTGCAGTCTTCAAGAGTAATATTTATATTAAACATTTAAAAACATTCCTTTTTTTTTTTTTTTTTTTTGTTATTTTAACAGTTGAAAGTTTACTAAAGAGTACCCTATGTCATGAAAAATGAGGCTACCTGTGATTGTAAAAATTATATGGCCCACTTATGACTTCCTTATCAGCTCAGACCTATTGATTTGGGAAATGCAGTGTGGGAATCTTCCAATTGTTTGCTTTGAAGGACACACTTAAGTGGCCAAAGAGCAATTACTATGCACACTACAGCCATTTAATGTTAACTTAGCAGACCTTTATATAGGATTGAATAGTATGTTAATGTGGTCAAGTAGTAATTATTCAGTAGGTCAAGAACATTGATGGGTAAAAGATATGATAAATCTGCATAGAAAATCAACTACTTTTTAATATATTCTTAATCCATATGTGGTTTTATACATGTATTTAATGACTAGACTAATGAATAGTATATATACCAGAAATCAACCATTTTTTTGCAAGTTAATTAATTTTTTATTTCTGCTTGTGAATTTGATGCTTTTTTATTTTTGTTGAAATATAAAACTCTTATAAATTAGTAAATCCAACATACACATACTAGTACTTTTTCTACTTTCTCTTAAATTTAGGCATGGATCTCACTTAATTTATTGATTAATTAATTAATTAATTATTTATTTATTCATTTATTTATTTATTTGTGCATTTTGAAAGAGAAAAAGAAATGATTTATAGCCTCCAATATTAAATGACATCAAAGGAAGTATCAAACAGCACTGGAATCTGGTACATGATATATTTACCTGACATCTTGATTTTTTTTTTTCTGAACTTTCTTACATCCTGAAATGAGCAGCTGTAGATTCCCTATGTCCTCTTAAAATGATAGCAGCTGGGTGTCAAAAATTGTAGACGTAAATGGGATGGGACTAGTTAAAGGGATGCCTCCATCTAAAAAGTTGATGGGGTTCATGATAAGCACAAGGGTCTTTGTGATGGTATCACTTAAATTGCTCATCATACCTATTCCCATCCAAATGCTTTGGTAGATTGAGCTTGGCACTGCACCAGCTTGCAGGCTTTCAAGTATTTAAACAGCATCAATCTCAGTGTAAATGTTCAATAATGTACCTTTGGAATTTTATTTCTACTGCAAAAAGAAAAACATATGACCTGCATGTTGGACCTGTTGTAAGTATGGCGCAATATTTTGGTTAACGTGAATTAAAGCAAGTTTAAGATACTTTGGGTACTAGCCATACATCTGGGCTAGAAAATTAATGTTCAATTTTCTAGGCTTCTGATGATTATTTTTGATCATTATTTACTTCCTCAAGAAACAAGTATTCTTTTTCTCCAAGGTGCAATATCAAGCTGTTGGGAAAGAGTTAGAAATAGTAGAAAAAGACCGCTACATCAAAACAGACCCCAGTGAAAACAGAAAGCGTAGGACCATCATCCTGTCTCGAACAACAGAAAAAGGAACTTGGGGATTTACACTACAGGTTAGTTCAAGCATATTTTGGAATTTTCATGAACTCAGTAGAAAGTGAAAAAGTTTTTAAAAAAACAGTACTAGTATAGTTTGAGTATATATGTGTGTATGCTAGTTTGATTGCACTTGTATGAAAAGAGAAAATAAATAATTTTTTGCACTGTTAATTAGATGTAAAAATTGTGGGATGGTATTCCCAAATTGTACAAAGAAAACAACAAGGATTCGTGCGGTGTACTGTATGTGATCTGCAAATCAAGTAGCTTATGCAATGATAATGGCATTCTTTGAAGATGTTGATGCAAGTTTCTTAATTTCCTTTTATGGTTCTGTTACGTGCACATTGCATGGGTGTTGTCATTATTTTCCCTTTTGTTTGCATGTTAAGGTACTGTATGAAATGGTTAAAATATGTCATATAACATTGTTGGAAACAAATTTCTCTGTACTTTCAAATGTATTTCAGTGTAAAAAGAATAGGGGGGTTATTTTCTTTTCAACAGCATACAACTCAAGTGTGATACTTTTAATTTTTTCAACTTTAATTAGTTTTAAGAAAACATGAAAATGAGTACAACAGAAATTAAAAGATAAACTGGAAAACATGTTTGAATACATTGTATCAAAAATATAAATAAGATGATGGCATTAAGTGAAAAGATGTTTAAAATAATTCATTATGTTTTTCATACTCATAAGTAGCCCCAGTGCCTTTTCACAGCATACATCTTTATTTTAGTTTTTATTTTTATTTAAATTTTTTATGTGCCCTCATCATCAGAGGACCCTGGAAACTCTCCTCTCTGCTACCACCATTACTGCAAATGGCAGAGGCATGCTGATAGCAAAGAGGTGACTTTTCAGGGTCCTCTGAAACTGGATGATTGATTTGTGATTCACTATCCTCAGAAATACTTTTTTCAATAAGTCTGCTTTTGTGTCTGTAATTACATGCATGTTCTGTCTGAAATTAATCCTGAGAACAATAAATCAAGTCAATTATGGACTCCCTTAATGCATGGAAATATTGGAGGTATGATCAAATTTGACCAAATAAGTAATGACCACAGGTGCTGTATCCTGGACAGGTGTTGTAACCATCTTGAGTTGATGTTTTCATTTAAGTGTTAATTTTTTTTCTTTTGATTTTACATGTATGTCTCTGCATGATAGACTTTTAATCTCTTTCACAGTCTAGGGAACATTTACCCTTTTCACTTTCAAGCCCTACATTCTTAATTGATATATTTGTCTAGCAAGATATTGCTAAGAACTAGGGCTCAGCAGGGACTTATATTACTAGTATGGACATATGACTGTGCAATTGCATTATACATTGCATGGCAAATATATATGAAAAATCATTATGACACTTTCAGATGTGTGCAAGATTAGCAAGGGATACTTATGCATCACATCTGGAAATAGAAATGTTGTAAATTTAGCTGGGAGTTTGCCAAGCTATGGCATCATATCTATTGTTTCTTTTTCACTTTGAAATTTGCTGGCAACACCCACTGATTATGTGAGTCTCAGCCTGTCCGCAAATACCTCATAATCAGATAAACGAAAATAAATATGCCAAAATTATATGGTTTATATGCTATTACAAAGGTCACTGTTTTGGACTTGAAATAAATTGCAAATTATCACGAGTGCACAGCTTCCATTTATTCAGGATGTTTTTTTTTCTCTCTCTTTTGCATGACCACATTGAAAACGTCACTCCATAAGCTACAGAATGTTGATTTTTTTTTTTTTTAATTTTTGACCTTAGATTATCTGTAGACTGACAATTCAGTTCATGAGGGATTTGGATATCTGAGCTGCAGAGGGGTCTCACTATTTATGGGAGGAGGGGTGCAGGGGGCGGGGGAGAAAGACCACATAATATTATGTATAAGCAGAGGAACAGATTTACATAGTTTTCAGATGATCAAAATCTTTCATTATCTAATTATTTCATACTTTTTGAGCATAAAAATAGGGGGGTCAGCCCTGTATTCTGAGGATCAGCTATTTTGAGGATCTGGTATTTTAAAAACTAAAGGAGCCTTGATCTAAAATGGACATTCTGAAAGTCTGCTATTCTGAAAAAGCTTATTGATGCAATAGCTGTGCTTAAATGAATTGTATTAGTTGCGTAATCAGGGTACTGACATCTGTATCAAAGAAGTGCATTTAATTTCCAATCTTTGTGCTGGTATGTTTTCTATTTGTACTTTTGGAATAGCACACCTTCAGAATAGTGGACCTCAGAATTGCAGACCCTCAGAATATAGAAGCGCACCCAAATATGGCACGTTTTAAACATTGTTGGCATGATACCCACTAGCATTTCAGCTCCTTTAAACGTATATATTTATGTATTTCTAGCAAAAATGTCTGTTGTCTCTTTCATTTGAGATATCAGCCTTGAGAACTAATTAACTTCACAATGCTTAACACAAAAAGCTTGAGTCACTTTAAATCAATGATGACTAAAAGCCTTTTTAATTAATTCTTTCCCTTGGTTTTTGTTGCCGTGAAGGCAAGCTCAAAGTATGCTTGGATAATTTTTCATCCAGGTCATTAGCTTAGAATCATTAACCATACAAAAGTCAATTGAGCCTTATTTCTGACCAATCAGCAAAATCAGTTAAACTATTTCAATTTCCTGGAGTCAAAGAAAACTATTGGTGGTGTTTGGCAATTTTACATATCCATTGTACATGGTTCCGTGTGCTACAGACTTTACAGTCCATCTCAAAAATGTGTTTTCCATGTAGCTCAGTTTGAACAGTCATGTGAGTTCCCAATGAAATATGGGCAGAGGAACAAACTACATTTAGTTCTGAACAATACATTATTTGCAATTTAATGATGTATTTCATCCCTGGTTGTGTAGCTGTGTTCATTGTTTAGTTGACCAGTTTCTCCCTAGGGGAATTGTTTGTTATCTGCTAATAGATTCCCTGCATGAGCTGAGCATGCCAATGCAGACTTGCAGAGAAATAAAAGCACGGGTAGGGGATAGTCATAGCTCTGCTCCATGTACCTTGGAAATAGAACCCAGTGAACATTTTATGGCTCCTCCAATGGCATAATAAAGCTTTAAATTATTGTTTACTGATCACCGGCATGTTGTCTTTCATAATACTGAATGTCCTCTTGCTATCTGATAAATAGAACACCTGTTTTGGCTTTAAACTGATGCACATGCAGTGAAATCCAATTTAAGTAATTTTCAATGTAAATTTTCTTGTCTAGTGTCTTTGTTTCACCAATAAAGAAACTTTTGGATATCTGCAAATTTTTTTGGAGAGTTTGAAAGCCATGCCCAAAATAATTTCTACTCTCCTATAAAGTTAAAACATTTTTTCTTCATGCATTTTGCTGAACAAAAAAAATCAAGTCTCCTGATTTGGATTTTGACATCAATTCCCTGACATTTTTTATTTATTTATTTATTTATTTATTTATTTATTTATTTATTTATTATTAACAAGTCCCAGCAGTTATGTATTAAAGAACGTTTATATCCACCTACCCTGCTCTATTCTCAACAATCTTTGTATAAAACATAAGTACTGAGTCACATGTTGGAGTATTAAGTCATGGGAAAAATCCCAGTCAGTTGCCCTGGGATTTCAGGTCATACACATTACTGGTTGGAAAGCAAAACAATGCCAGTTCACATGATGAAAGAACCGATTTAAGGTCAAAATGACGAAATGAAAGAAATTGCTTCCAGCTGAGGGCCACTTTTTTAAGGCCAAGGCTGTACTTGTGATTTAACTCAACCTTTTGTGTAAAATGCACTATAGAAAATAGAAAAAAGTACATGTGGAACAATTCCTAATTTGATGAAAAGATATCTGATATTTCATAAAATGCCTCAGGACAAATAGTATTGGTGAGCATTTTAAACAGTAAATGCTCAGTTGCCATATTTTTTTCTCCCCAATTATTCACAAACCAAATAATGCAGCTAGCTGCTTTCTGTGCTTGGTATGTATTGGTGGAATGTTTATACTGCTGAGATTTTTTTATGTACAGCAGGAGCAGATCAAGAGATATTGTCTGACAGTTTTCCATATTATCTTTGTTAATCCATCCTCCATTTTTGACCATCATCCAACAGAAAAATTAGATGCTCGTCAATGTAAACTTGAAAAATTCTAACCATCTACTGGAAGACCCAGAAGACTGCTTCTATCCGCCCCTGAACTACATATAAATTTTCATGAAGACATAGACACACATGAACTCACATATAGGCCCTACAATACATGCATATGAATATTTATACAAATGGACCAATGCTGTCTTATCAGTCCAACATCTATCCAACGCTGACATCAGATATGTTCAATTGATTTGGTGAGCATTAACCTTGGCAAGGTTGGCATATGGTTTCTTGTGGCACAACCACATATAAATGCAAGATGCCCCATTCTGAAACTAAATTTGTATGTCAATATAGATCCATCACAATAGGATTTACTTATTGATAGTGAAATTTTCAGACAGAAGGAAGACCTTTTTTGCAAATTCATACCAGTGCGAGCATACATGTCTCTTTTTTATGGACAAACACTCTATGTGTCTCGACATGTATATCCATTGCTGACACCATGTCATTTCTTGGAATCTTTATTGTAAACACCTTAAAGGAAAACCATGTTACTTATTATTCTCACATGAATGATACAAAAAAACTAAAATACAGCTCAAGTTCATAAAACCAGTCTGATAAGTTCATTTTTCTTTTTGTAATGAAGTTTTTTTTGCAAATTTTTCATTTTTTTGCAAATTGACAATTTCCAGATATGTCATTTTGAATTCCTATATGCCTGTGCTAGTTCTGAATGTCCACAAAACAAAAGAGTACATGGTGGTGGCTGTGCTGTGAACCATCATATAATATTGCATCAAAATGGTTGTATTGGTTTTATTGTCATGTTTACCCTGTTTGAACGTCAATGCTTCTTTTAGTTTTAACATTTATGTCTGTCCATTTGACAGCTTTACTGTCTCGTGTGTGTGTGTGTGTGTGTGTGTGTGTGTGTGTGTGTGTGTGTCCAATTGCTCCTGCTTATGTCTTAATGCATGTTCTCTCCTGTTTTTGTGCAAATGGTTTTGTGGTCAGTGTGTCCTCCTCAGCAGATAGCAGACATGGATTTGACCCCACCTGGAGACATACCCTTCTGTCATAAACAGTGCCTACTGTCTCCTTGCTCTGCACTAATCATTTAGGAGTTGAAACAAGGGGAAAGTACCTGGTCTGACAGAGAATGATATATTTAATAAACTACCTTTCACTTTCTCATACAACAGATGAGCTGTAACCTCCAGTGGAGGAGAGAATGTTTACAACCAGTTTGAATCGGGGCCAAAAAATATTATCTGCAGTGGGACAAAGTGTAATGCTGTATATAATTTTTCTCTGTGTCTGAAGGTTCCATTTATTTTACAGACCTATGGCATCCATCACAAGAAGAAAAATGAATTGGAACTGATGACCTATGTTGACTATGTGGCTTTTAATGGACCAGCATATTATGCCGGGATGAGACCAGGTAAAATAAAACAGATCTTGTTTTGTATGTTCTGCAGTCATGAAAAGTTGCACCAACTTGTAAAAAAACAAAGATTTATGAAATAAGAATGAGGCCTTAAATGTACTAGTGAGTATATAGAATTCAATGATTAATTACTGTGTATTTAATTTGAAGCCATTGAAACTGAATGAACAAACTATTGCAAGGAAATACTCAGTAAAAGAGATTTTTTGACGAAAAGAAAAATTGGAATCAGGAAAAAAACATTAAGTGTACCTTCACAGTATGCTGTGAGCCAGACATGAGAAAAAATAGTGCAAGTGTGAGCTTCTAAAGGAGCGGACAGAAGCCTTCTTCTTGGTCTTCCAGAAGACACTCAGAATTATTAAGTTTACATTGATGGGCATCTAATTTTTTCTTTCGGAAGACGGTCAGAAATGGAGGATGGATCAACAAAGATAATTTGGAAGACTGTCAGAAATATCTCTGGATCCACCCTTGATATGCATGTATACAATTGTCATTGGCAAATAAAAAAGTTCAAGCAGGTTTTTAATTTCCCTTTAGTACAAAGCTCAGATGAAATTTCACCTGAACAAGCAGATGTCTGTGCATGTTAATTTCAACATGTGCATGCATGTATTAGAACACCCACTGACAATTGGTATTGTCTTTTCAGGTGATGTGATTCTGTCCATCAATGGGTCAAGTATGGAGGAGGCTGACCATGACCAGTTGGTGAACTTTGTAAGATCACGTTGTGGGAAGACCATGAGGTGAGGATGATGTGTAATTGGCTCAATAATTATTAATGAAAGTCCAGACAATAGCTCTTTGTTGATATTCTTTATTGGCAACTTCTGTCTGAATCAAATATGTGAATTTTATTTTCTGCATTTGAAGTATAGTATGTAACAATTTGCATATGAAACATTTATCATCAGTGGTGCATAAATGTTTTTCTTTTGAAAAAAGAAGTGAGGAATCAACATTTTAGCTTTAAGTGTGCTCTTTGTTTTTTAAGGAACTGTCTTTTTGTTATGCTTGAGAGGTCTGTACTTTAGGCTTCGTTCACATGCAATGTCTATTTTCTAAATTCTATTTTCTATTTGCGGTATGTCTTATGATCACGGTCTGNTTCAGTCTTTTTATTTTCAGGATGGTTGTGTTATTTGAGGACTGTTGTCGGAAAGTAGAACTACATATGAGATACACCAGGCTAAAGGTGAGTGTCAGGCACTTTGCATATTCACAAATTTTACCTCAAACCATACTTGTTTTTGAAAGTGGATCCAGGGGAGATCCTGCCCACTCACCTCTCCCTTCCTCTAATTTTCCAGATCAATGCAGCCCATCTGTTGCTAGAAGTGGGCCCACAAATGAAAATTCTCCAAATGAAAAATTTAAAAACAAATGACAGATAAATGTGCATGGACCCTCCCCCTCCCTCCCCCAATCCCCAGTAGTTAACATCTTGAAGCCACAAGTGCAAAAATAATGCATATCCAGTATTCAGGGCAAATCATCAGTGATATTTTACTGTCAAATCTGTAATCTGTTCAAAGGCACAAACATAGATGTAGACCTGTTTCTAATGTGATGTATGATTTATTGCATTTGTACATGAAGGATTGAAACAAAGAAAACCTCTGAGTCTAGTGTTTCATTGATTTACCAATTACAGAATGTTTTGGCAGACAAAATGTTCGAACTGCGATCCCTCCAGGCTCAAGAGAGAAGAATCAGCAAAGGTATGGCCATATGATTTTACTAAAATGTTTCACAGCATTGTCATTTATTATCCAAGATGAAGAAAAAGATTTTTACATCCTGAGATAATTTGGGTTGTGACCATGTCTGCCCTTTTCTTAAACTTGTTCATTTGGTTAGGTATTTAGTTGGGTTTTTGCCAAATTTAATGAAGCACCTATTTTTTCCTAATGAAGTTTTAAGTGAGATTTTAAGACAAATAATTGTAAAAATACTGTAATATATTGCTTGTCATGGAGGTTTTTGGATTACATTATGCTTCCATTTTTATATAGGTATGAAGCCTTTGAAAGGTAAATCACTAGAAAGGGACATGAGTGACATTTCCACCCCAAAATCTAGGAAGATTTGGCAGTTTGATGAGGAATACAGCTCTGATACTGGGGAACATCTTTATGAAGACACAGAACATTTTAAAAGGATGCTACACAGTCCTAGAGTGGCGAGAGGAGGTAGTCTACAAATGGCACACTTAGTGATAGATGAAGAGGGTAGTGCTGGCGCTGCCTTGGAGGATTCTTCAAACCCTAAGTTGTCAGCTGGAGATTCTACATTCAGTCCAGGTCAGACTACAAATAAGGCACATGATTGCACTGAAGATGAACATTCCTGTGGAAAAACTTCACATCATAATACCTCAGGTTGCACAATTGGATATAAAACAGTGAAGCATAAAGGCCTTTCAGAATACAACGATTGTTTGGAAGCACAACTACCAGCTGTTCTTGCTACACGAGAGGATGAGAATAAAGCCCCTGCCCAGGGGTCTTCAAGTTTAGACTGTCACCCAAGTGATAAGTTTTCATCTGACCCAGGGGGAGACTTCGACGTTGAACATAATCCAGTGTTTCAACCCCCATCAACTTCATTACCAAGTGCTGGAGATGATCATGAGGTGTATGCCAATGAAAGTGATGAAGTGACACACCTTTGATATTCTCTGCAGAAATCCAGGATGTTACATTAAAACTATACACAAGTGCTGAATTTAAACAGAAACTGTATATTGTTAAGTAATGGTGCAAACAAAAAATGTTAAAATGATCAGAATATGATCAGAAGGTGCTTATTCTTGCACAAAATGGATTTATTTGAAGGATTTCAAGATTGTCTCAAAATATTTTGTGTATTTAATACAATTGTAAAACGTGAATTTTTCTTATAACATAAAACAATTGAAAACCATGAGGTCACAGTTTATGTTATTGAAAACTACTAGGTCACAATGTGATTTTTAAAATATTTACATGAATGACATTTAAAAAAAAATTAAACTCATTTTAACAATTTCACATTTGGTCACAATTACTTGAGATTTGTTATGGTGCTTTCATAAATTTTAATTTATGAGTGATATCTTTTATTTTGCATGTGTCAAATTTTGCATAATTACATATTATATTCATATTTGTTTGTGATTTTTAAGAAGGTGCTCGGAGCTAGGTGCAATTGTTTCTTAACTGTTATAATTGTTATGGTTATGATATTTTTATTTTGGTTTGCCAAAGAAAATGTGGTGCAATATCAGGTCTTTCAAGGCTTGGGGTGAGATACATGTGTTATGTTCATTCCTGTGACAATAGGGAGCACATAAAGGATAGTGGAAGAGAGTATGTAATACGGTAATTACTTGATCTTTTTAATGGGCAAAAAATACTAAATTTTTCAGAAACAATTTTATAATCACAAAAATTATATTTCTATATAGCATTTGTTGTGCATTTACTACACAGAATAGAACTATAGAGAAACCTGCTTTGTAATTTTGTTGCTACCACTCAATAAGAAAGTTCTAATTAAAAAAAAATTATGACTTAAAAAACACAGTGTCTGTTAAATTCACAATTTTCTCCCCATGAAAAGATCAAGTAATTACCTTAGGTTTCAATCAAAGTGCTAAATCTTATTATGCATGTGCAGGTCCATAGTGCTTGGTCTGAACTATAGGACCCAATATTTGGTCCTAGGTCTGTAGCATATTTTATGAAAGGGCCCTTGTGAAGACCTCTCTCACGTGCTTCCTTGCCTCTAGAATAATCTGGCACCACACTGAGTTGCACACATACTGAAAATTCATTTCTATTATCATCATTCCTCTGCAGTTTCCAGAAGCCTTTAACCAAATACCACATGCTTTGGTTTCCAAGTAAATCAAATCCATTAATTCAAAAGTGACTGGAGATGGCAAAGGCTTGCTGATAATACATGTGTTTCCAGAAATCTGGGAAACTCAGGGTGTTTGGCATTCATTTAAGTGATGCCACATTGATTGATGTTATCTGAAATAGAAAAAAGCAGATATATTTTCTTTTGGCTCAAGTAAAACATACTACATTAAGCTTTTTTTTCAAATGTTTGTATATTTTTGTCCTAGAAAATAACACCCATGAGTATTGTTTGCTAATAAGCCATTTTCACAGAGATATCTGGCACTCCAAATATAATTTATGATTGACATTTTGATAAAAGATTTATTTTTAAAAGATTTTGAAAATTCAAGATCATAAATTGAATGCTCAGAAAGAGATATTAATTTGTTAAAATCAATTTTAACTTCACTTTAAGCAACTTTATTTATGCAGTGATATTGATGATTCAGTGATATTACCTATAGCTCATATTTGATGACAATGTAAAAATCAGATATTCCTCTGATAGCTTCCTATTTTATCCTATGTCCTCTAAGCTGGTGCGCTTTCTTATCATCAGTATTTATTTGTACATATTTCATTTCATTAACAATCAAGTATTACCTGTAAAAAGTGGACTATTTGTCCTGCAGAAATGTGACATCTTCCTAAATCAATTTTTAAAATGCAATATCAAACTGCGATGTGAGTGTGCTGATGGTTGACAGCATCACTGGCGGTATTTAATATTCAGCAGCAAATAATGACACTAGTTTTTGCTGAAATTATGTGCCTTAAGGTTCACATACATTTAGGAGAACTTTGTGAATGCTAATTAAATACTTGTCTCCTTCTTCTCTCATTCACTGTATGTTATTATACATGTATACAAATAAATATAAGTTATGGTTAAAACAATTTTTGAAGTTTTCACATCCTTTGAATTCTGCAATTGCTAGTGAAGCAACCTGAATAGTTTATCTTTTTGATAGATAAATTCAAATACAGCCATTTATAAGATACTGTTTTTTTAATAATGACTTATTTACAAATAAATAGAAGATAAAATGTTTTGATATATTTATTATAAATAATCAATACATTATTCAAGTTTGGGATTTTTGGAATATCCTAACCCATGAAACATGCTGAGGTTTTGGAGACCTTGGTTAATTTGCCCTATAAGGCTGGGGGCCTGGTTGCCCTTGTGTGGTCATGGTATCCCGCTGTCCAGGGGGGTAGGTCATTCTTGTGATCCTGGAGGTCCTCTTGGTACAATTGTTGGTGGATGTTGTGTGTTTGACCCTGGGGGTCCTGGAGGACTGTTGAAACCTGGGGGTCCTGGCAGCTTAGATGAGGCTGGGGGTCCGGGTTGCTCATGTGAACCTGGGGGTCCTGGTTGCTTGTGTGATCCTGGGGGTCCTGGTTGCTTGTGTGATCCTGGGGGTCCTGGTTGCTCAGGTGAACCTGGGGGTCCTGGTTGCTCAGGTGAACCTGGGGGTCCTGGTTGCTTGTATGATCCTGGGGATCCTGGGGGTCCTGGTAGCCTGTGTGATCCTGGGGGTCCTGGTTGCCTGCTTGTTCCTGGGGATCCTGGGGGTCCTGGCTGCCTGTGTGATCCTGGGGGTCCTGGTTGCCTGCTTGACCCTGGGGTTCCATGTTGACTTTGTGTATCTGGAGGTCCTGGTTGTTCATTTAAAGATCCATATGTAGATCCCTGAAAAATAATATTTTTTGTCTCTTTGAATATTGTTCATGAAAAAATGCCTGCAACTCTCTTCTTAATGCTATGATAAGTCTTAATTTTTATATATCTGTACGTCCCTGGGATGACATCTCTGAGTTCTGAATAAAAGTGAGTGCATACTTGCTGCCTGTCCTCTCCATAGCCAGCACATGATCAAGGAAAAATTGTTGACCAAAAAGTTTAAGAATTCTGGCCTAGATATCAGTTCTGCAGCCATATTCATTATTTCTGGCATCACTGCAGTGATTACAGTTTACAGTAATTTCTCACTAAAAAAAAAACAAAATTGACGATTGTCTTTGGAAAAAATGTTTTGTTAGCAATAGATTATTTAAGAATTTTGAAAATGATTTCATAAACTGATGTAGGTTCACCTATTTGGGTAGATTTATGAATTGCATTAAACTTCAGTTTAAATTACAGTAAGCTTTCAACTGCCACTACAGTCTTGGGCTTCATTCACATGCAATGTCTATTTTCTAAATTCTATTTTCTATTCGTGGTATGTCTTATGATCACGGTCTGTGCCCTGAATATCCCGCGGCGTAATTACTGGCAGCGTGGGCCAGTTACTATAAGTTACTATAAGTAACTGGCTCGCACTGCCAGTAATTACGCAGCGGGATATTCAGGGCACAGACCGTGATCATAAGATAGCGCGAATAGAAAATAGATTTTTAGAAAATAGACATTCCATGTGAATGAAGCCTTGATCAATTTCTTAGCAATTATCAACTAAATATGAGAAAGGGCAAAGAACTTTGACTCCCCCAAGAAAAATGTGTCCCTTGTGATTCCTCATAGTGAGGGAGTGTCAAAACAGTCAAGATGTCATGAAAGTTTATAATACAGGTGTACTTTTCACATGCTTATACAATGTAACAACATATGGTATAATTGGACCATTGCAGGACAAGTGTATTGCACCACTGTGGAAAGCCTCTCACATTGGAGAAACTGCATAAAAGATTTTTGTAAGCAAGATTCCAGGAACACAGAAGACAAAGTTCAGTAAATTCAGAGGTTTCAAAACAAACAAACATTGACTACCTATCTCATAAAATTAGCATCAAGAGCAATAAAAGCTTGACTGTAGAACCCAGTTGATTTGAAAGGGGCCTGAAGGAATCCATCTAATATGACAAAAATCAGGTGATCTTTTAATAGGGCTGGGGTAGATTCACAGGTGTTTGATTGGAACTGTAACAATGTATTTTTGAACAGAGCTGGCAGAGGTTGGGGTGCACGCCCATTCCTCTTTCTTCATTAAAGCAACCCCTAGGTGATAAAATAACTACTCACCACTGGTTTATTAAAGAATGTCCAAACAGGCTTTTCTGCTCCCTCAGGATCACAAAAGCAGCCGGTCAACGGTGGTCTAATATAAGGTTTTCCTTGTTGGTCCCGTGTTAGGGGACTATACCACACAACACAACGGCATGGCTCACTGGGGCTGCATGGAGGAGATTCTGGACTTCTGGAATTACACATCACATTTGACCCACCTACATGGACAGCACTCAAAATGAGTATAAAAATGACCAGCTTCATTGTTGCATCCCTCACTGATGCATGTAACTGCGTGACTTACTCCTTATATACCAACTGAATGCTGCATTTGTATCATACCAAATTCATTTTTTTTTCAATTACATGAAGGATTTGACAAATGATGTTCATTCCAGTTCAAGGAGTGCCAGGAAATTATTTCTAATTTGTATACTTTAAGGGATAGTGCATGGGATTTTTGTTGTCTTTAATCTACAATCTACTTCCTTGTCATAAAATAGAACACTGTTGTCTCGGACATGCTGCTTGCCATTAGATAATGACATGACTAATATAGAAAACTTACATTTTAGCTGGAAGTAAAAATGCAAGGGTGCATGTAACCACTGACTTTGCTTAAGCAAAGTTAAGGAAAAGAGGTAATAAAAACAAGGGATTTTTGTCTTTAGTCTGCCTACTTCCCTGTCAAATAAACTTCTAATGTCAAAGGCATGCAATATGTCATTAATTAAGTGATGACATGACCAATGTGGTAAATTTCAACAGTAAGTGAAATTAGAAGGGGTTCAATCATAACCTTTAACATGGTTTTTGCCAAGTTAAGTAAAGAAAAAAAAGGTCTCAAAAACATACTTTTATGTAAAGTCAATAGGGTGATAGATAAGAAGTACTTTAAAATGTCAAAAAATGAAGAATAATTTTTTAGTAATTTTTCCACGCAAAATACTATGTACCGTCTCTTTAATGAAAAGGTTAATTTTTACGTGATTGGCTTGGATTGGAGTTTCTGGGGTTTATCTGATCTTGAAACCTAATGATTTTTCCACCTGCAATACACTGCGAACATGCTTACATCCCTGTTTTTATGGGTACAATGCACATGTATGATCCAATTTATGAAATTGCAAAAAACGTATTGTAGATTCAGGGAAATGGATTTCCTCAGGCACTCTGACAATTAGTAATGGTTTGACAGTAAAGCACTGGGCCTGTAGATGACCATTTAAATGACCTTTTTTGAAGTGACCATGCATTGAAACATATAGTGCAATATAATACTGTAGTAAGGGTTAAAGGTTGATAATCTTTGGTCAAAATATTGTATATGACCTTATCATCATTCTATTTGGAAAAAGGGCAAAAACTAAAAATAAAAACAAATAAAAACCTTTCAACTTTAATTATTTATTTTAATTCACATAGTTTATAGTTTTTCTTCATCAGTGCAAAGACAACCAATGTTTTCAACTCCAGGTGGCAGTAATCTATTGAGCACATATGGTAGCTTGTTAAATGATAAAAGGAAATAATTCCATATGGTACTCATTTATCACAGTCATCTCCATGCTAATAGCTGAAAGTTCGTGCTTTGTGCTTCAGTGTCCATTCATCATAAAACTAATCTTTATGACTACCATTTTATTTTGATTGCAATTGTAAAAGTAGAATCCTAAAATCACCAACAAAGTAACTGCTAGACATACTGCCATGTTAAAATTATATAAGTATTCAAATAAGACAGACTGCATTTTTTACAATAAATTGAATAATTCAAAACAAAAATACTTTCACCTGTTTAAAAAGAACTCACTCATGCAATGTGTAAAGATTTGCATTATGCTTGTGCACGTGCCCTTTGTTTTTATCAACACACTGCCCACATGAACACTTGAATGTAGAATTTATAAATAATCTCAATAGTTAAATATCCACATTTTAGTTTATGCTTTAAAACAAATGATACAATAAAAGTCAAACAATCTCATAGTGCCAGGAAAAATACTAAAATTGTAGGCAAAATATTTTAGTATTTTCATCAGTTTCCCTCAATTTACAGTTTGGAATGTTCTGCATATAAGGCATGCGGCTAATACATATGCACTCAATTGTACATTTACAACAAAAATAAATAACCAGCCTTGTATTGCAAACTGAAAAAGTCACATTCAGACCGTTGTATATTGCAAAGAAGAAATATTATTTAATATAAAAGAAGAATAATTTTAAAATATACCCATGTTGACTATGTCATATTACTAGTGTCATTGCAGTGACAATATATTGCAAGGCAGAAAAGATTATAAAATATATCCTAAGTTGACTCATTCATATCAAAGGTGTTATTAAAGTAGACATTTGTGCGACAAACATTTATAAAAAGTTTACATTTTGACAACCTATTTTATTTAATCTGAAATTATCAGATAGTAAACTAAGCAATATAAGCAATTTCAGCTCAGTAATAATCTAAAGAATTACTAGCATGTTATAAAATACTAGTGGAATGTTTTCTAACTTCAACAATATATCTGTAAAATATATTTCCTGTAATCATTCTCTACTAAATAGGAGATTCATACCGCTACTATCAAGAAAAATCACACATCTACAGCATGTACAGTGACCCAAGAGTTATGAACAATACAACGTTCTGCACGTTTTCAAGGTAAGATTATAAACATTTAAAAAAATAAAATTTGTAAAACTCTTTTTTATGTACAACACTCTATTTCACATGGGGACTTAAAAACCCATATACTTCCATGCATATAGCATCCTGCAACCCACTTTGTATTGGATTCACAAACAAATGCACTTACAAACAACCTGGCTGAATGCAAGCTGTACATAACTCCAGGTCACCCTGTATTGGCATTGGCAATACTCTTACAGTGGGATCTACTCTCTACATATCTACAAATTTTAATGACTGAGACAAAAGATGCTTTTATTTCCAATAACTATCAAGAATCATACTTTTGAAGTTTAACCAAGCTGCAAAAACATTCAACACAGGCATGACAAATTAAAATAGGTTGTTCTTCTTTGAGATTTGTATTAAAAAGTGCTCATTGCATTTTAAAAACAACTGTGTCCTGCACAGCTTGTATCTCCAGCTCCAGTGCACGGTATCCATGTTTAATATCAAGGAGCTTAAAGCTTATTTTATTTTTTCATAAACTACAAAACCATCCATTTGGCAAAGGGAAATTTGATCTAATCAATTTTGACCATTTTATCACTGATCTGATATACTGTGACAATTGATTATTTGGCTACAGCAGAATTTGTGCTAAAATGACCTGGACCAGCTTTATCAACCAGAGCAGCTTGAAATGCTACACTTCAATAGGAGACGTAGTATCCTCCAGATTAATTGGAAACTGTCCTGAATAGTCTGACATCTCATCAGAGTCATGGGAGTTCCTGGAGGAGAGGGACAGATGCAGCTTGTTCAGAGATCTGAAAAAGACAAAATTGCACAGTGATGTAACTTCAAAAGGCTTTCTATTAAGTTCATCCCTACAAGTAATTAATATTCATTAGATTATACTGTAATAATAATATTGCATAAATTCAAGACAAAAGACTTGACTACTAAAATGCTTTTATATTACACAGTAAACTATATTGTCAAGTTAGCAAAACAAAGTATGATGTAGGAGCTAATGTTCTCCCACACATAAATCAAATACAAAATTGAACCATAACCCAAATAATCACTAAAGATCATGTCTCACCTACCAACCATCCACCAATATTCACAATTAGAAATGTTCTACCATCTAAGCACCCTGAGGTTCAGAGTCTACATTACCACTATTATGCCCAAGACAATCACACGAATTAAAATGATGATAGCATTGGATAGAAAGTCACTGTCAGTGTTCTGAAACTCAGGGTGCTATATTAATGACAGATACAAATTCAAATAGTAAGGTAAGAGGACGGTGTCAAACACAGAGTAGGAAATTGAAATAAGACCCAATATTTCCATAAATAGCTATCAAATAAACATACATCCCTTAATATTTTGACGACTGCATGATAACACTTTCATTCCAGTACTCTGAAAATCTGTCATCTTCATCATTCTTTTGTGAAACAATCAAAAAGATTTAATCTCTCTGCCATCCTATCCACCATTAATTTTGCCTGTCCCAACCCCAAAAAATCTAGATTTGCTATCAATTTTTAAAAAATCCATTCTTTCCATCATCACCTTATTTGCGATACCTCTAAGCAGTCAACGTTGTTCCGTGTCGCACAAAAAGTATTTAATACGTACTTTACAAATATTGTAAATCTGATATCCTCTAAGATGATTTGCTGTTGGATCATTTAAAATACATATTAGCTTATATTTTACTGTCTCAAGAAAACTACATAAAAAACTGATTATACATTGAAAAAAAAAAAGGTCAAGCACTAGAACATTTATCAACTAGGACAAATTAAATGCTGTGACAACATCACCACCTTGAAGCAGGATCAATTGGGGACACCTAAACACTTACCACAGTTCTGTAACTGGTATGCGCACCCTATTGTAAGGATTCCATAAAGATATAACAGCTGACAATCATTTACAACAAACAGTTTAAGAGGAGAAGCTTATACTACGTAATGACTTACATGCTCGCTAATTAATATGTGGAATTTAATTTATTATTGTAAATACTTTTTTTCACATACACAGTGATGCCTGTGTGCTCATACTGACCTAATTGAAAAGTGAAAGAAAAAATGGCAATAAAACTCCTTTCTAACAAAGAAAACTGAAACTTGACACAAAACGCATCATCACACCAAAAGATAAAAGAGAGTCCATTTCGCCTTAGCAATTCCTTGGTTTTATATGATGCATTTTCAGTCAACTTCACGTTTCAATATAGTTGAATTGAGAACTAAGTGTTACGTGCTTTAAAAGGAAAACCACGAGAACCAGGAAGAATGTGAAATAGTTTAAAACTGGTAAGTGCTCTGTAACTGACTGATATATAATGAAATCAGACAAGATATTAACTTGCATGCACAAGAAATAATTTTAGGGTGTACTTAATTAAAACATACCCATCACTGTATCCAAAAGTTGTAAATACTGTGCCATGTTCACTGGTGTCATCTGGATGCTGTTTGCCATTGTCTTTGGTGTTGTTATTCATAGCCTAATATTTCAAAGGAGTAAAAGTAAATTTTAATGTTTTATCTTTCTTCTAACACTGTTACAAAAGATAAAACATTAAAATAAGAGAAAATTACTCTAAATAAATACTTACCAAAGAGGTTTTGTTTTCATTACAAAGTATTTGCAGTCCATAATCAAGTCAAAGTATTTTAAAATGTGTAATCAAATGCTACATGATCTTGCCTTACTGGGAACACAATACAACTGGTTGCACTGCACTGCATAAAAATATCATCAAAATATATAGTAAGAAAACCCCTTATATTATCCAGAAAGGGTCAGCCTACAGAGGGTGATTAAAACCAATCCTTTTGCAGTTAATAAAATGTGAAATGAATCTGAGCATGGTCACTTGTTGGGCAGGGTTCTCCCCCCAAGAAAAGAGAAACACGATATGTTTAAAGTTACACCAAAGCCCACAACAAAATTCAACATTAATACCTATAGGTACACAATGCTGACAGTATGACCTCACGATGAAAGTACTCACGATGATAAGAAAATCTTACCCCTCTTATAGCCAGGTAGTGTTTGAGTGTTTTGTCTCCCCACTGTAGAAGTGATAGCCCATCAGCAGGCATTATAACATCACGTTCATGTTTGTTAAGTAATGTTAACACTCGACACAACTGGTGAATCACATTTCTGAAATAATCAGGAAAATATGACAGTTTGTATTTTTATACCAGAGGCAGGCAATGGCTAATAGAAATGTAAGCAGTTACTGACATTACAAAGACCCATCTTGGAGAAGGCTGCCATGAAATAAAAAACCTGCCAAAACTGATTAATGCACTGCCTGTATCAATGTACCTTGTCATTTTCATTTTTCTGGAACATTAACAATTTAAAGATATTTTTCATTTTATATTTGCTGAACACTATCAAAGTTCTAAACAAAAAATATTCTTTGTTATTCTTTTTGTTAAGTAATGCAGAGTCCTATGTATTAAAAAACTCAAGGCTTCTGACCTAGAGAACTGAAAATATTAGGTGCTTACTTATAAACCAAGACTTTGGGATGAGTATGTTGAATGCTTCTGTATTTGATTCTAGCCTCATTCAACATGGCCAAAAATATGTCAGTCTTTGATTTCAAGTTGAGTAAGCGACACATAAATTCCTCTTTTTCTGCCTCACTGATCACCACTTCTTCAACTTCTTGAGGCTCATCATATTCTGTAATGAATAGGTGGAAGAAATTCCTAAATTACATTATTCTTTAAAAAATCAACTAATCAATTAGGCTCAAAGTTAGCAAACTAAAATACTGATACATTCATTGAATCCATGAAAACTAGTTTCATATTGGCTGTTTGTCATATTTTAGGAAATCTCGCTTTACTTGCATATTTTTAAATAAAAGAATAAATTAGAATTTTTTGTAACAGTGACAGAAAAAAGAATAAACAATACACTTGCAATAATAAAGGGACAACCATATGCAAATGCAACAGGTGAAATTAGAAACAACACTATCTAGACTCAGAAATGAAATGTTGATTCACATCTTACCAAAGCCTGGGTTTTCAAACACAGCAACATTGGGCAAATGGGTTTCCTTCTTCTCAAGAGTATCAAGCTGCAGAAATAGAATAATGTTACATTTTGGGCATAATATTTTTGTTTTAGCCTAATGATTAATTTTCACCAAAATTTACAATAATTTTGTAAAAACTAATCAAAATAATGTTTTCTTTTGCACATAAACTCTCTTTAGCAAACTGTATATGTCACTTTTGGTGTGACCCCAAGTTCCATTAAATATGGAAAGCTACCTTTAAAAGTTAATATGAAAAGCAGGCATTTTACTTTTGTCCTGCAAAAA